AGCTGTGACACTTATCTGGCTTAAGGGATCAGGCACCGGGTGTGCAAATAGGGCCAGGGCTCTTGCAGAGCCAGCATTACCTCAAAAACACCCCTAAGCCAGCCTGTGGCCGTGTATGCTCCCACTTAGCTCAGCTCAACTCTGTGCCCATGTCCCAGAAGTCCAGATCGCACATTTCATTGTCATCCAAAATCTACCCATCGGGCTGCATGCTCAGAACCCACAGGCCCCTCTAGTGCTCCCTTTAAAAACTGGCCCAGAGAGGGAAGAGCCAGGACCTGCCAGCAAAGCTTTTCTTTTCAATAGAGGAGTCCCTGTCCCAAAGGCAGGCGCGTGGGAAGGCTGGTACAGCCAGAGGAGGTTGGGCCAGGGGCTGCTCTGACACCAGCTCCCACAGTCAGAGATCCTGGGTGTTCTGCCAGCAGGACAAAATGGACCCTTTGCTCCATCCTGTTCCTACCAGGACATTGGCAAAGTCTCCCTGGCTTCTGTTGGGCCGAGCCTGGGGCGTGTCCCCACCGGCACTGGCGGTCCCAGCACTGCTGCGTCCCAAGCTGGCCCCTCTCCCAAACAACCCTCATCTCTGCCATTCCTTGTCATCCCGGGAAGTCTCCCGGGACCCCAATCCTACTGTCAAACATTTGTCGCCCCCCGCTCTCTCACGTCGCCGGCTGCAGCGGCTTGTGCTGGTGCTCGGGGACCAGCCAGGACAGCTCGCAGCTCCGGGGCTCCCTGCCCGGACAGCAGCGCCCAGAGCCAACCCCCGGACAGGGGAATGTGCCCGGGGCGGCCCCCGCAGCCCTCACAGCCCCCGTCAGCGCGAGTCCCGTGAAGGGGCCTCGGGCAACCCCCACGAACCCCGGGGAGGCGGGACCGGCGCTCTCTGGTCCCCGCGGGACCGCGCCCGGTGTGCCGGTGTCCTTGTACGCGGGGACGGCAGGGCCCGCGGAGCCGGTGAGACGCAGCCCGAGGCGGGGCGGATCCGTCCAACACTGCTGAGCCCCCGCGGCCGCTCCGTCCCCGTCGTGGCCCAGGGCCAGAACGGGCTTGGTTCGGGGCCTCCCGGTCCTTCCCGCCATGGACGAGCAGCGTCCATCGCGCCGCCCCCGCGAGCGGCTCCGGGACCCACCGCCCAGGCTCGAGCCGGGGAGCGGCCGCCGCGACCGCCCCCGTCCCCGGTGCCAGTGCCGGTACCGCAGGGTTCGTCCCCCGCCCGCGCGCCCCCGCCGCTCGCGCGCATTACCTGGGCGGGTATCGCCGACGCTGACGGTCGCCCGCGCTGACCGTGTCCCGGGCGAGGAGGAAGCCGGCGGCGAGAGACCCGGCGCCCACCATAGCCAGGAGGCCGGCGGAGCGGCGAGCGGAGAGAGCGCGGGCGAAGGTGCTGGCCATGGCGGAGCGGCGGAGCAAGCGCGCCGGGGCGGGCAGCGGACGTGAGGGGAATGGGAACGGGAATGGGAATGGGAACGGGAACGGCGGCGGGGTGCGCGGGGGGCGGGGAGCCGACGGGGCACGGGGGGGGCCTGGCGGCACCGCCACCTGCTTGGCTGCCCCGCCCCGCTCCGCCCCGCCCCACCGAGGCCGCCGCCGCTTTCAGCACCGCTCGCCGGACAGCGCCGGAGGGGCAACCGCGCCGAGACGGGCCGGCTCCGCACCGGGACCCGCACCTCGGAGCCCCTCGCCGCGCCCCGGGGCGGGCGGGCGCGGCCGGGTCAAAGTTCGTCCACCTGAAGTCGGGAGCGGCGACAACGGCTCCTCGACGGGATGCAGCCCGCTATGGGTCGCGGGATCGGGGTCGTGTTCTCGGCGGTCACCAGCCCTCTCGCAGTGCTCCGTGCCCGCCACACCGGCGGGGCCGCACCAGCGGGCCAGGGAGCGCGCCGCGTTAGCCACCGCAGACCCCCGAGGACAGGAGCTGCTGGCGCACCGCCGGGCTGCTCTGGCACACGAGAAGCAGCCGCCCGGTAGAACCGCACGCCCAGCCCGGTACGGCCGCTACAGCCGCGTGTCCCGCCGGGTGCGGCCGCGCGCTCGCCGTTACAGCGCGGGGCCCGCGCCCACGTGCGCGCGGCGCGCCTGGCCGCGCTGCAGAACCCGCCGCCGCCGCCAGGGGCCGCCACGCTGAATCCTCTCGCGCCCCGGCCGGCCCGCCTCCTCCGCGCCGATTGGCTGTCGGCCGCCGTCAGCGGGCGGTGATTGGCCGGCGGCAGCGCCGGCAGCGCAGGGTGCGCTCGGAGGACGCAGGTGAGCGGAGCGAAATGGCGGCGCCTGGCGTGGCGCCCCCTGCTGCCGCCGGCGGGGGCAGGGGCGGCTGAGGGGCCGGGGCCACGGCCGGGGCCACGGCGGGAAGCGAAGCGAAGCGAAGCGCAAGGCGGGGAGGGGTACGGCGGCCGCTCGCGCCGCTGCTGGGCCCTGTTTCTCGGCGGCTGTCGGGGAGCGCCGGGTGGGCGGCAGCGGCGCCACGGCGAGGCGCGGCCCGGTCCCGTTCCGGCCCCGCCGCCCCTCGCCCGTGCCTGCCTGGCCCGAGGTCCGGCCCCGCAAGGCGCGGGAGCTCCGCCCGACTCGGGGGCCACGGCGGGCGAGGTTCGTCCAGGCCGCTCGGGGCCGCCGCTCTCAGCCTGTCCGTGCGGGCGCGGTGCCGGTGCCTGCCCGCTCTCGCCCTTCGCGGGACTTCTTGCGGTCGCGCCGCCCTCCCGGCCCGGTCCTGGCCCCTGCCTGTGCCTCAGCCCCGCTCTGCGGGCCCGCTGTCTCTCCCGAGCCTGGCGGGCCGGTGTGAAGGCGCCGCGGTGTTTGCGGGGTGGAGCGGCAGCGGCCGTCCTGCAATAACCCCTCAGGCACGGCCGCCGTGTCAGAGGAATTCCCTGTGCTGAGGTTTCACGCTTTACAGGTCTCACTAGTGTCATTAAATATTTCGTTATGAACAGTGTAAGACACGGACGGGTCTCGCCGCTGTGCGCGGTGTGCGGGATAAACCGAGAGCCTGCCTCAATGCTCGCTTCTGCTGGCGTTTGCAGCTGTCGGTGTGTGCGGCCTCACTGAAAGCCCTGCTTGAATAGACTGAACTTCAGCTTCCCGGCTGTGAACACCTTGAACGCCTGTGTTACCAGGGATTTCTCTGATACACCATGTTCAAATGGGTTTAGTTATTAATCCTAAAAGAGGTGATGTTTCTGTTCTGAAGTAATTAAGTGCTTATGATGAGAGCACAGCTTTCACCGTTTTAAAGTATGGAATTAACCTTAATGCAAACAGCCCTTGTCACAGTGGAAGTAGCTCTCTGTGTGTTGCTCGTCATGCATGCAAAGGTACTTTGCTGCTCAGCGCCTAAGTTTTCAGGGTTGGGTTTTTTGGACTGGTTGGTTGGTTGTAGAGCCATCAGTAGTTTCAGGTAGTTCTACAAGACATTGCTAGCATTAGTGTTTTCAAATGCCAGCTCTGTGTACACTTAGAAGTCATGATCCTGCACGTATTTGACCTGGCTTGGCTAGGCTGTGGTCTCTAAGTTGGATCATGCTTACAGGCTTTCTGCATGCCAGGGTAACCTGAATTCCTGCCACCGGCAATACAATGAGCCACATTCCTGTCTGTCAGCCTGGCAGTAGAGAGACTGCACCTGCATCTGCACCTTTTGTTTAAAAACCAAAATGAAGCAAAACCCTGACATGCAAACCCACTCTTTGGTTGGTTAATGCCACGCTGAGTACAAACTTAATACAAGACTTAATCACACCTTCACACCTTAAATGTCTGGTACCTCAGAAGCAGGGAACAAAGACTCTCTTTACTTTGTAAGCACCCTTATCTGAACAGCACCAGAATGATCTGCTGGGGAACCGGAAAACAATTACCGTTTCTTATCACTAATACAGGGCAGTCTAGGGAGCTAAATCAGTCCCAGGCCATCAGAGGCAAGGTCTGTGGCTCCATTTAGGGTTGTGTGTCAGCAGATTCAGATTGCTGGTTGGATAATTATGGTAACCTTTGGTATGACCGTGCAGCAGATCACAGCTGCCCTTCTTGGAAGTGCAGCAGGAAAGTCTTCAGCTGCAGTGGCTGGCATATATTGCCTTCTGTATCTGTGACAGGACTACCAAGCCTGAATATTCTGTCTCAAAACCAGAATCATCCTTGCCTTTTGTGTGCATTAGTGCTCTTGTCTCCCTTGGACAGCACAGTCGGCAGCATTAACTCAACACTGAATTTTCTTGCTGTGATTAGTGAGAGGTGGGGCCCATAGCACTCTCAGCAGCTGGGAACTGGGCAAAGTGTATTGGCTTCCACGAGCAGTTAGCTCAGCCATCAACGGGGACAGAACCATCAGCATACTGAGCTTGGTGTGAAAAGTGTGGGCTGTGTGCTGTGCAGGAACCTGCAAGGGTTCTGTAGTGGTAATTGCCACCCTCCTGCCATATGAGCTCTGTGCCAGTTCAGCACTAGAGCTGGCTCAGGTGTAGTGGGCAAACTTCTGTCGCTGTCCTTAGATACCACAATAGAACTCCACTTGCCTGTGTCCATTTAAGAGCAATAGTCTGAGTTTTTGATGCCTTAGTTATGCCTGTACCTAAAATTTCTGTTTCATCAAGAGTCTGTAGTTGCTTGGTATAAGTCTAAGGTAAGGGATCTGCTTTTAAGAAAAGCTAGGAAAAGGTTCTGGTTAACCCTCTCCCCACACCTGAAATAATGAAGCTTTCCTTATTAACACCATGGGCATGCCTGTACTATCAGTGGCTGTTGGCTTCAGTGAGGCTCTGAGTTTTTACCTGGTGTGAGTATGGTGTGTCATGGTCTTTAAACAGAGCTATAGAGCAAGTAAAAGGCTTTTTCTCTGGGATAGGAGGAGGAATATAGAGAACTTGTTGCTTTCTGAGTTCTTAGGGCAAAGGTTTTCCTGCTGCTTTATCTGTTTTTTTTTCCAGGAGGGAGGGGAGAGTAAGGGATTGGAGAAAATAACCCTCCTCTTCCTTTTGCATGGTTTGCTTCACTTCATTAAATCAGCAGTCATCAAGCTGATAGTGTACTTGCTAAGGGCTCATTCTGCACTGATGTGCTGAGGCAGTGGGACACAGGCATGAAAATGGTTCCTGAGAATGTTGGGAATCCTGTTCTTGTCCTCCTCTGGAGATAGCAGGGCCATGTGGAGTGCACAGTAAAGGCCTCTATAGACTGCTCTGCCAGCACTGTTCCTCCCACTAGTAGCGAGCACTGATGGTGAGTATCAGCTCTGAGTCTTGCTGGTCAAGACATTTCAGTGCCAGATGTGTGCTGTGCTTTGAGGATTTTGTGGGAGCAGCACAGGGCTTGCTGCATGGGACTAAGATGGAAGCGATCATCCTTGGTGTGGTATGTACAAAGTCCAGGCTTACTGTGTTTCCTGTGTGGTTTCTTTTGGGTCAATGTTTGCTCCCCCAGTGGATCCTTACGCAGGAGGAATGCTTTTTTAGGAAAACGCTTTTTTAAAAACGCTTCTTTAAGGAAAAGCACAGTGAAAGATACGTTCTTGACACTGTGGGTGGAGCTTAGGTCAACGGTGAGCAGCTGTGTCCTTGGCACGTACAGGTCAGTTGAGTGGTGTGTTCAGACTCTGTCCCCTCTGGGGCAGGCAGTGCAGCTCTTGTAGGTGACAGCGGGGGACATGCTTCTTTCCTTGTGTTTGTAACTCATAGCATATATTCAGCAGCTGGTCAAAGCAGGTGATTGTTCCACTCTACTCTGCACTAGTCACAGCACTAAGCCTGTCTGAGTTCAAGAAACATGTGGACAATGCTCTCAGGCACATGGTGGGGTTCTTGGGATGTCTGTACAGGGCCAGGAGCTGGACTCAATCCTGATGGATCCCTTCCAACTTGATGTATTCTGTGATTCTATGCCAGCTTGCAAACCCAGACACCCTAACCTGCAACCCAAACTGTTGCTGATGCTTCCTCTGTGTCCTCTTTTCCCTGCCATAGAGTTTTCACTTGTTTTTCCTCCTCCCTGCAAACTTCTGCACCTCTCAAACTGTTCTCTCTGTTACTGTAGGTCTTCTTGAGCTGAAAGGATGAAAATTGACAATTGGAAAATCACTATCACCGACCTGAGCTTTATCCTGACTTCTGGAGTCCCAGTTGATGTCATTGAGCATATGAGTCTGCAAGAGTGTCCCCTGTCCATGATTTAGGCAGTGGCTGGACATGCATCACTGTAAGGGTTACGTTATTTCAGTGCTGGTGGTGACACTGTCCAGTGCAAGGCAGTTAATTGAAAAATGGAGCTGCTTATCTAAAATGATCCAGAATTCCGGATCCCCTCCTACCCTGAGTGTCTTCCTGTTCCCTCTTTTTGTGCTGGGCAGCACTATCCCTGGACTGCCTCATGCCAGATCAGTCCCTGCCCTCCCCACCATCGCTTGCTTCCATCATGCAGCTGGCCCTGGGGTCGCCCTGCACCTGACCTCTCTCTCCCTTTTGCACACTGTCATTCCAGAGCGGGATGGTCGGCCACCGAAGCTGCAATGTCGTCCCTGACGACCTCCAGTGAGGGAGAGAACTCTGCTCCCAGGTTTGTTGTCGGTTCCAGAGATGATGAGACAGAATTTCTGGGATCAAACATGAAGACAGACGAAACGGATTTCTTTGAAGATGATGAAGAGGAGGAGTCGGTAAGGAGATCCTGGCATTCTGGGCTGGAGCACCTGTGCAGAATCCCTGGGTCTCAGCCAGGTTTTGCATGGTTACTGCTGGGGTTGCAGGTAGTTGGGACTGCAGGGGACACAGCACCTGGCTGTGTGGCACAGCCGTGGGACACAGCAGTGGCATTTATGACAGGACACATTATGTCATGCTGCCGTGCCCACTGCCTCAGGAAATGCAGCTTTTTGCTTGCAGGTCTGATGGGGGAAAACTAGTGGGTTTCTTTGTTCTGGAGACTTAACCTGACACTCCTGTAAACCTTTTCTGTTTCACCAGGGAAATTTTTGAGGAGAACTCTGGCACCTGTGAAAAAGGAAAAGGTGTCTCTGCAGAAAGAAAACATTAATTTTTTCTATAACCTACAGGAACAGGATGCAGAAAAACTGATCTCCAGCTCCTGACTGCTTTTGGCCCCTATTCAGTGTTACATTGAATGCTACTAAATTGATCTCTGTCTTCCCCTCTGTCAGCCACCAGAACGGCAGATCGTGGTGGGAATCTGTGCCATGACCAAAAAGTCCAAGTCAAAGCCCATGACACAGATTCTGGAACGTCTGTGCAAGTTCGAGTACATCACAGTGGTGATCATGGGGGAAGATGTAATCCTGAATGAACCGGTGGAGAACTGGCCCTCTTGTGACTGCCTGATATCCTTCCACTCCAAAGGTAACACATCTGTAGCAGTCATTAGCCTGCTTGAGCTGTGAACACAGGAGTTTCCTTTCAGCCTGCCTCTCTGCCCTCACCCTGTATTTCAGGATTCCCCCTGGATAAGGCAGTTGCTTATGCCAAGCTGTGCAAGCCATTTCTGATCAACGACCTTGATATGCAGTATTACATCCAGGACAGGTGGGTGTCTGTGAGCCTCTAAAGCCCCTTCCCTCTTCCTCTGATTCTTCTCAGCATGCTGTGGAAACTTCATTTTTCTGGTCACAAAGGAGTGAGATGAGGGGGAAGGGGACCTTAGCAGTGATTTTTTGGGATTTCTCCAAAACATGGAGGGGAATGGCTTTGAGGGTAAAACCATTGAGACCATGTAAAACCATGCTTTGTTTTCTGGTATAAATGTCTTGTAAGGAGTGCCTGGGATGTAGGGAGTGGAAGAGTTCTCACAGAACAAGGCTGCCATGACTAAAGCAAAAAAGACTAGTCTATAAGCAGGAGAGCCAAGTGGTGAGATGAGGCTCTGGGTCAGAATCTGTGGTACGTGTGATGGTCAGACATGCGAGGTTTCTCAGTCACCTGTTGGTGGAGGCCACCAGCACACACACTTCAGCCCTCACAGCCGGGCTGCTTTGGCTATGTGAGTAGGGCTCCTAACGGAACCTAAACTTCCTGCCCTGTCTTTAGGGTGGTGAGCAGTGTTATGTGGGTGCTGGCAGGCATGCCAGGGTGTAATTAGTGAAAGAACTGGCGTATGCCCCTTAACACAGGATGAAAGAAGGCTCCTGCTGCTTCTGCCAGGCCTGGACACTGGGTAGCTTGGCATGACAGGGCACTCTGCAAGAGGGCAGATCTGGGCAGGTGATGTGTACTGGATGTGCTGCTGTGCTTTGGGCATATGCTAATAATTGAGCATCCATGTTTAGGCCAGGTAGAGATTTACTCCAGGGCATCTGTGTCCAGAGCAGGACTGAGGCAAACCCCATAGCCTGTAGGACTCATCCAGAGAGCATATTGCGTTTTTTTTTGTTGTTTTTTTGTGTTCATCTGACTGTGTTCTTCATCAGTGGGAGTGAAGTCTTTCCCTTGATGTGTACTGAGGACCTTTTAAACTCTTCTTGGCACTGCTTCTGTCCTCTACAGGCGTGAAGTGTATCGGATCCTTCAAGAAGAGGGAATAGACCTTCCACGCTATGCTGTGCTCAATCGAGATCCTGACAGACCAGAAGGTTGGTGTCCAACCTCTGCTGAAAGCCATTTCCCCAGGCTCTGCTATTTAAGATAGTCTGCAGAGGACAGACACCTGCGTCACCTCAAAGAGGCTTGACTCATAAGTCTTTTGGGTTTTTCGTGGGCAAATTTCCCAACAACAAAACCGGCTGATGGGCCTGGGAGGGGCTTTGGCTCTGCACTAGGACTGTCTGACCTTTCCTGATGTGCTGCTGCTGTGCTCTGTCTTCAGAGTGCAACTTGGTGGAAGGAGAGGACCATGTGGAGGTAAACGGAGCTGTTTTCCCAAAGCCATTTGTGGAGAAGCCAGTCAGTGCTGAGGACCACAATGTGTATATTTACTACCCGACGTCGGCAGGTGGGGGCAGCCAGCGCCTCTTCCGTAAGGTGAGGAGGGGTCTCCAGAGCTGGTGTTGGAACCAGCACATCTGACACCCATGTGGCTTCAGGAAGGAGTGTTGTGGCAGGTGAACGGGAAAGGAAGGGTTTGTGATGGGGATGTCTAGACCTTCTTAGAACTTTTAGTTCTACCCCACCTACCTGGGAACCACAGAAGGATGTGTTTTAATGGTAGTGCTGACTTCACCTTCCCTGTCTTCTTGGTAACCCTTATCCTGTAGTCATGGAGCACTGTGTCCCTTTCTGAATTGCATGCTGATTTCTCCTGGGTTTATCAACATGAATTTTTTCAAAAATCCTATGTTCCTATAATTTAACATCATTCTTGCCCTTCCTATTTAGTGTAGCTTGCACACGTGATAAAAGCGGCATTCATTCCTAGATTCCACAGGAAATCTGCCCTTACTCACTTCCTCCACTTTGCCAGTGAACAGTTATAGGTGTTATGTATATTTTTTCCAGTCAGTCACACATCTGCCATTAATAATGCTAAAATGATTGTTCCCTTAGGTAAGTTAGATACAGGTATGCCTCTTGAGGTTGTACTCAAAGCCTTACTAAAAATGAAAACAACATCATCTTCGATGTTGATAAAATCAGTCATGGTCCTAGAAGGAAGTTAAATTGATTGGATTATCACCTGTCATAATTTATTTTCATTTTCATATTAATTAGGATCCTTACTTTTTAAGTCTTTGTTCACTTTTTTTTGGTTCCATATCCTTGAAGTGATTGGAGACAAGTCAATGGTCTATAGTAACTTTTGTCCTCTTTAAAGCCTGGAAAATGAGATACCTGTTGCATTTTAGTCTCTTGTCCTCCATAAAGAAGTGTGCCATAATGGCTGGGGGGCCTGAGATGCTAATCGATGAAATCTGCTAAATTCTCTACATATGGGATGAAACTTCTGCTTTTCTGCTTCCATCTGAGACAAGGATCCCTGTGCTCTTCCCTGAGGTGTTTATTCTGTGCTCTCAGATTGGCAGCCGGAGCAGTGTGTACTCCCCAGAGAGCAGCGTGAGGAAGACAGGCTCCTACATTTATGAGGAGTTCATGCCTACAGATGGCACTGATGTAAAGGTAAGGAAAAGCCTGGAATGATGCCTTCCTTTGTGAGGCCCGGGGGAGCTGAAAGTTCAGCAGTTTTGCTTAGTCCTACTTAGGCTCTGGAAGGTGCGTTTAAGCTTTGAGGTGCTGCCTGCGCAGTTTCGGCCCCAAAGCGAGGAGCAGGTGCTCTGTAGATCACACCAGGAGGAATGTGTGAGACCATCTCATCTCCTTTTCTGTGTCTGCAGCAGAAATATCTTCTGGAAGCTGCAGTTAGTCGGGTGGCTGTGTCAGGTGCAACTCACTGTGTTTGCAGGTGTACACTGTTGGGCCGGACTATGCCCACGCAGAGGCTCGCAAATCCCCTGCTTTGGACGGGAAGGTGGAACGGGACAGTGAAGGGAAGGAGATTCGTTACCCAGTCATGCTGACTGCCATGGAGAAGCTCGTGGCCCGTAAAGTCTGTGTAGCCTTTAAGGTCTGTATTTTCTTTGCTGTGCAAAGAAATGTCTGATGTGTGTCTGGGTTGGTGTTAAAACTTGTCATCCTGGCATGTCTCAGGCATGGCAATCCTCCTTGCCTGATGCCACTTGTTGGTCCTGCTGGCTGTGGCAGTTTGCTGGGCAGAGGTGACTGGGAAGGCAAGAGGTCCTGCAGCAAATGCCATCTGGGCTGGCAGGTGCCTGGTGTCCCACATACATCTGAGCATTTAATACTGCATCCTGAACATGCTGCTCTCCATCCAACCTGTGCTTATTCTGTCTTGGTTATTTCCTGCTTTTGTTTATGTGGAAAATTTGGTCTTATTTTATTGGTTTTCTTTTTCTTTTTGCATTTCGATGCTTGTGTTTGGTTCTTTTGTTTGTTTGAGATTTTTGTTTGTCTGGTTTTTTGGGTTTTTTTGGTTTTTTTTTTTTTTTTTTTTTTTTTCGTTTTTGGGCTTTTTAAAATAATATGGCTCTGGTGCAAATTGATGTTTTATTTTACATGTGGACAGAGTAATGAGTATGAGTCTAGGTATGGTACCATGACAGTTCAGCAGTGTTCAGCAGAAGAAGCACTGGACTCCTTGTTCCTATCCCACTGCAACTGGCACCCCATGCAGTTGGGCTGATGCAGATTCGGTCTCTTTCTTACCTTGTAGCCTTTTCCGTTTAGTGATGGGTGTCCTTGTCTGCAGCACTTCTTGTCCGTGCTTGTCAATCTGGTTCAAAATGATTGGATTTGAAAGGAAGAGCAGGATATCCAGGAGCTGCTCTGTTTCAGGCTTTTAGAGCTCTGGCAAGTCGGGGGTTGACCCTGATGGCTTCATCTGGGGGTTTGTGGTTAGGGCCTTTGGTACAGCAGTGAGGGAGTAAAGGTCTGACTAATGGCATGTCTTCACACTTGTTCTAGGCCTGTGAGGTGGGCATGGAGTGGAGGATGGCTGTAGCATCAGCAGGGCTGAACTGCTGCCCAGTTGGCATAAACATTGGCTGGGTCTGTTTATGCCCTGCTGTATACAGCTGCTGTCCCCCCACTGCTTCCTTCCTGTGTGTCTAAGTCCCAGATCCTCTGCTTCCTCCTGCAGCAAACCGTGTGTGGGTTCGACCTCCTGCGGGCCAATGGCCACTCTTTTGTTTGTGACGTGAATGGCTTCAGCTTTGTGAAGAACTCCATGAAGTATTATGATGACTGTGCCAAAATCCTTGGGTATGAACAATCCAGGTTTTGGTAAGATAGAAAGGTAACTCACGGCAAAGTAAAATGAAGCGTGGAGTCCTGGTCAGTATGTCAGAGAAGTCTGCAGGTGGTTCATGTGAGTCATTTGTTCAGCAGGTGAAGGCTTGGCTCTTGGAGGGAAGGGTTATTTTCAACCACTGGAGCTCCTGCCTGCATTGGCATTAGCTGTCTTTGTCTACAGCTAGATGTGTCTTCCAGGACTTTTCATTGCATGCTGAGCCCAATTGTGGTATTGATGATGTGGGGGAGACTGGTATCCCTTTGGGGTGCCCTAATTAGCCACAGTGTCATAGACGTCTCTGCACATCTATCATAGTGAGGGGAAATTCTGTGGCTCTCTTCACATCTTTCATCAGGACTGCTAAGGAGGAGGTGGAGAACCAAGGGAATGGATTTTCTTCTGAGTGTTGTATTTTGATTTCTTCCAGAAATATAATCATGAGGGAGTTGGCTCCCCAGTTTCATATTCCCTGGTCCATCCCAACAGAGGCAGAAGACATCCCCATTGTCCCCACAACTTCAGGCACCATGTGAGTACCTGCCATCTTCTCAAAAGGATGCCAGTGATGGCTACATGAGCGACAAGGTCTGAAAAACCCTTTCCAAGGGCCTGACATCACTAGCAGCATGGCATCTTCCAGCTGCTGTGCTGCTTGCAACCCTGAAATGCCTGTGGAAAGACTTAGCTATGCACATGGGAGTTGTGACAGGTTGGAGATTTAGCTGTAGGTTTGATGAATGCAGATGAGCAGTAACTGAAGAAATTACACAAACTGCTCCCATGGCTTTCAGAGGGTCCAAATTCTTTTTCAGGACAGGAAACAGATCAGGACAGATGCTGTAGCTGGTAGCTGACTGTTACATGGAGAAAGTGCGTATTAAGCTACCAGTGAAATAGGTGGAAACACTTACCTGAAATATTCATCTTACCCATATGCTTGGCAGCCCCTCATTTGATACCTTTGGCCTTACCAGTTTTCTGGCACATAAGGCTAAAAGACCAAAGGCAAGTTTCTTTGTGATCCTCAGCATACCTAGACACTGGTGTGAAACCACTCAACTTGGTGGTGTCTGCAGAGCTTTGATTCCCTCTGCAGCTGTGGCACTTGTGTCTGGTTTAGTCTGGGAGAAATTCTACCCCTGCTGAGGAAAGCAGCTGTCAGAAGAATGGAAATGAAAGAGCAATGGGAAGCTACTTCCTAGTGGCAGCTCTGGAGTGTAGGGGCACATTTGTCATGTCTGTCCTGTGCTTCCCCAGGATGGAGCTTCGCTGTGTTATTGCAGTCATCCGTCATGGAGATCGCACCCCAAAGCAGAAGATGAAGATGGAAGTGAAACATCCCCGGTAAGAGCCAAGGGAAGAAGGTGCTGTGTTGCTGGGAAGGGACGAGGACCTATCCTCTAAACCAGAAGCAGGAGCAGGGGACTGAGTGCACAGGAGGCAGTACTTTTTCCTGGCCCCTCCAAGCAAATGCTTTCTGAGCAGTTGAGAGAGCCCCCTTTCCCCACAAGGATCCTGACACCTTCTGTGTGAGCACTGGGAGAGTGAAGGTGCTGAAAAGGGAAGTGCTCTACTAAATGGGAAGCCAGTATCTGTTTGCTGGTTGTATTTTGCAAAACACTTGTTTTTTCAGAATTTCTGAAGCACAGGGAAGAGCCAGCAGCCTGCTGGTTCTCCCTGAAAAACAGAGACTGAATGCACATGTAGGGATGACCCTCCTTGTATTATTGAAGCAGCAGAAAATGGATCAGCATTCTTTGTTGTCTGTTCAGGTTCTTTGAATTATTTGAGAAATATGATGGTTACAAGACAGGGAAGTTGAAGCTGAAGAAACCAGAGCAGCTACAGGTGAGGAAGTACATTCTGGCGTTACTGTGTGGGATATGCAGGTAATACAAATCCTGCTGCAAGGCATTTCTTTGGCCTTGATGTAAACCTCCAAAAGGGCAACAGTCTGTCACACAGATGCTCCTTTGTCTCATTCTGCACCCTGGGCACACTCAGCTGGGTGACAGCAGGAGAGCAGAACGAAACTCCTGCTGCCTGATGCACACGCTGCAGGATGATGATCTGATGCAGCCTGCCCACCAGCTGTGGTTGCCTCTGGTGGCAGATGGGTCCACACTAGGGACTGGGGCAATTGGAGGTACCTGCTTGGCTCTCAGCAGGGCTGTAGCACAGCACGGGGATGAGGCAAACTGCAGTGTGAAAGTTTGTCCTGCCTGAGCTGTGTCTTGTGAAATGACATGGCTCTGAGGAGTGTCTGTGTGATGCTGGGTGAAGCTGTCAGGAGGCCTTGCAGGAGTACACTGGTGAGTCTGAGGCAGAATTGCTCTCTGCGTTCCAACAGGAAGTGCTGGACATTGCACGGCAGCTTGTGGTGGAGCTGGGAACCCACAGTGATTGTGAAATCGAGGAGAGGAAATCCAAACTGGAACAGCTGAAAAGTGTCTTGGAGATGTAAGCATTCCTATCTCAGGGCACTGTGGATTTGCCTCAGAGCATGTGATACAGAAACAAGCTGTGCTGCTGGTGTCCTGGCTAGCTGGTGCACAGAGATTGTCCCCTGTTAGTAACTGTACATGAAAGGCACCATGCTCCTCACCTTTTCTCCTTGACATCAAAACCCTGCTGATCCTTGTCCCAAGTGTGTCTGGTGTTTGGCTAAACAACTTGAGATAAAGCTGAGCTTTCTTTGCTGCAGGAGAGGAACTGGGGTCCTTGAGGTTCCATGTGGATGTGAAGCATTTTGATATAACTGGAATAAAACTTGTATTAAATAAAGTTCTCCTGGTGCCAAAAGTTTAGGAAAAAGGAGCATGGAAAACATGAGCAGATGTTTGTGTCCTCTGAGGTTTTGTACAGTCGAAATAAATATGGTGGTATTGACAACTTCTAAATAAAAACAGGGTTGCTATTCACAACTTCTAAATAAAACCAGAGTTCCTCTTGGGACTGCAGCTAGCTATGGCACACACAGCCAGCATCTATGTTCAGGCCATGTCTCTGGAGCACAGAGGAAGACTTTCTGCAGTGATTCCCTCCTCTGCTCTTTCTGCTCGTCGGAGACATGGTTATTCTCAAAGCATCGGTCACAGTGGTTTTTACTGTGGTCTCATTAACTCACTTGTTAAAGATGTAGATAGACTTTAAAGCCTTAGTGAGGAATGACAGTGCAGAGTGCTCCTGGTAGAAGAGCAAGGGAACGGATCTTTGGATTTTGTTTGGAGAGCTGTTTGGCTTTTTCTGGAGTGTGTGCTGGGTCACAGGGAGATGACAACAATCATGTTCCATGGCTATGGGTGTTGCAGCAGAAAGTCTCTTATCTGTGCTGTAATTCTGCTTTGTACTGCCTGATAGCCTCTGGGCAAAGGTTGGGTGGAGTTGATTTGTTTCAGTTTTTTTCTCCATCCCTTGTGACAGGTATGGACATTTTTCTGGCATTAACCGTAAGGTTCAGTTGACCTATCTGCCTCACGGACATCCAAAAGCTGCAAGTGAAGATGAAGGTAAAGAAACCCGATGGAACTACACTGGTCTTTAAGCCCAGAGTTCAGGTGTGAGTGCAGCTACTCTACCTGTATAGGCCTCTGACATGCAAGCGGATTTGGTGACCCATATCTTATCTTTGCTCACATCATAGGAAGGATTGGAGGGATGCCAGTACACCCTGGCTGCCTCTACAGGGCTTACACTTCCAATTTTGTGAATGTCAGCCTATACCTTCAAAAAGTAGTGACTCTACATTTCCTACTTGCTGATTTGTTTGCTGGAGAGTTTGGGTCAGGCTTGTGTTGAGAACACTCTGCAAGGGGCCGATGACAACCTCTTCTTCCTCCTGTCCTGACCCCGTGCAAGCCCAGATATGAGATCTGATGTGGTGAATACCTGTTTGTGTCCTAGAAGCTCGCCGAGAGTCCTCCCCCTCCCTTCTCCTGGTGCTTAAGTGGGGTGGAGAGCTGACCCCGGCAGGAAGAGTCCAGGCTGAGGAGCTGGGGCGGGCCTTTCGCTGCATGTATCCCGGAGGCCAAGGTGAGTTTGTCCAGGTGCCTTTGGTCCTGCCCCATGGCTGCCAGCCTGCCCAGCCCAGCTCAGGGTTGCTCAGCCATCTGTGGCTGTATACAGCCTCTGGGATTACTTTTTGTTCTTTTGAGTTGACATGGTAAAGGTAAATAATTCAGGTGGGTTTTGCACCCAAAGATCCCTAAGCTGACCAGAGAGGTGTGCTGTTAAACTTCAGTGTGTCTTGAAGCACAGCAGCTTTCTTTACATAACATGCCAGGATTCAAAAAAGACAAGTGGTTCTAATAAAGTACATTGTGATGCAGCAAATACAAAATTCATGAATGGTTAACGAGGAATTTAGGTCAAATGTAGAGATCAGAGGAGATCTGTCTTGGAACACAGATAATTCTGCCCTGAGACAGGAGAATAGGGTGGTAACTTCTCCATATTTTCTTCACCATAATGCCGTGATGCTGAAAAGCATCTAATGTGCATGCAAATCAACAAGAGCTGAAAGGGAGAAAAAAAAAAACGTGCTGAGATTGCCTTTGAGTCAGGAGTAATACACTGGATTGATCCAGTGAGCCCAGTATTGGATATGCTTGTCTTTGACTTGTATGTTTAATTAATTCAACTTAATTAATTACATTTCAAATTAATTAAGCAAATTTAAATTGACTTGAAGGTGATTTCCTTCTAGAATAAAGAAGAGTTACGTTTGGTGGAAAAGAATTGGGTCAGGGGACACTTAAGCAAGCTGGACATACATGAACCCAAGGGCCCTGATGGGCTGCACTCACGGTGCCAGGGAGCAGGCAGGTGTCCCTGCAGGGCCACTAAGGGTTCTCTTTGAAAGGCTCTGGATGTTGGAGGACGTGCTTGAGGACTGGAGGAGAGGAAGTGTCACTCCCAGCTTCAAAACTGCCAAGGAGGGCCCAGGGAACTGTAGCCAGGTCAGCCTCAGCAGAGCCCCTGGGCACTGGTAACGGAGCAGCTAATCCTGGAGATCATTCCTGGGTGCATGAAGGATAGGCAGGTGACTCTGAGTAGTTAACATGGATTCACAAATAGAAGTCATGCTTAACCGACCTGATAACCTCCTACAGGGAAGTTACCCCCGTTCTTAGGTGAGAGTCATTCTGAACAACAGCTTTGTAGACTTCTGCTCCATGTGGTCATTCATGGAGAGGGAGAGATCTTGTTTTGCAGGGGAGTGCTATGTTCCTGGGTAACATTTGGTGCCTGGCAGCTTTCCCAGGACATACTTCTGGCTGGTGCCTGTCCTTGTCTGTCAGGGTATTTCCCTGAGTTGTGAGCTCAGAGCTGGGAGTGCTGTTCCTGTCTTGTCATGCAGTGTGACTGGCTACTGTGCAGAACTGCCCTGGGATTCCAGGCAGCAGCAACTAGTGATCACTGCACTGTCTTTGGAGGTGACACTCGAGATCTGCATGAGATGCATTTCTCCATTACTCATCTGACTCCTGTGATTGACTCAGCCATGAGAAATAAACTGGCAGTTTGTGCCACGAGGTAATTGTAGCTCTACAGAATCTACTTTGGAAACTTCCTTGCTGAACTGCCCTCCTTGCAGTTCTGAGGGCTGCAGGACCTGCTCTCATTCATAAAAGAAGCAGAAGGAAGTGATTTTTTTTTGGTGCATCTTCATTCTGCACCAGGGTATTCAGGCTAGCAGAACTACTACAGGCTGTTGAGTAGAGTTTGCTGCAGAATTTGGGCAGCATCAGTGAATGCTCACTTTTTTCCTCAAAATTAACTTTCCCAAGTTAAGCAAAGCCTTTGTTACATTTCTAGTCCTTGTGTATAGCTAGAACAGTCTTATTTTGGAAGCAGCATAAATGTTTCCTATGCAAGTGACTAATTCTCTACATAACTTTGTTGCTACAATAATATTTGTTTGTCTAAAGCTGAATGTCCATCTGGCAATTGTGCAGGTGTGAGAATATGAATTCTGAGCTGTCCTTGTTTGCAGGTGATTATGCTGGTTTCCCTGGCTGTGGCTTGCTCAGGCTGCACAGCACGTACCGCCACGATCTCAAGATCTACGCCTCAGACGAGGGGAGAGTTCAGATGACAGCAGCAGCTTTTGCCAAGGTCTTTCTTCTCTTTTGGGCATCTGTTTGTTCTACTTCATTAAAATATGCTGGTTCTAAAGGAAAACCTCTGGTGATGAGGAGGGAGTTTTCCTGGGATCTTCCCCCTCTCTGTTGGATGGACTGGGGTACACTGTGCTAATAGCAGGTGTATGGGGCAGTACTGAGCATTTGGTATATCCTGTCACCTTTAATGTCCTGTCCAGGGTAGGACTCTGACTCAAGAAGGAGTTATGAATGGATTATTGCTGGTGCTTGATGTTAGAGCACACCAGATGTGCTGCTGAGTATTGGTTGCCTATAGAATGAATGTTTCTGGGGTGGCTGTCCAGCCAAAGGGCTTATTCCTTGCCTGCTGGATTTAAAAAGGGGAGTGAATTGTCTTTGGTGCAGTGTGGGGTGGAGACTGGGGAGAAGACAGGTTCATTTGCAGCTGAAGCCAAGAGGAATCCTGCAGTGGCCTTAGGTGGTCTTTGGAGCCTTCACCATATTAACGATTTCAAACAAACGGAGTTGCTTGAAAGTTGAGCCTGCTCAACAGACAAATCTGGGGCTGTTGCAGGGAGAGCTGTCCTTTGCTTGAACAGCTCTAGAAGCATGCCACAGTCATCTCTGATTGGAGAGGATGTTGCTGTAAAACTGCCCTTCAAGGATAGTTGAGATTTCACTTAAGTTGCCTGACTTCTGGCCATGAAACTACCAGAATTTTTGTAGCTTGGGTTGCACAGACCTGAAATCTTGTCCTGTGTGGTGTGGCTTTAGGGTCTGCTGGCCCTGGAAGGAGAACTGACCCCCATCCTGGTGCAGATGGTGAAAAGTGCCAACATGAATGGTCTGCTGGACAGTGACAGCGATTCCCTTAGCAGCTGTCAGCACAGAGTGAAGGCGCGACTGCATGAAATCATGCAGAAGGATGCTGAGTTCTGTGAAGAGGATTATGAAAAGGTAAAGCACCAGTGTGGCTTCATTGCTCTCTGTATCTGGAAGGAGAATAGCATTGCTTCAGTGGTTTGGTGTTAAATGTGTGGTATGTGAACAGTGGTTTGGTTAGTTTGAGATCAGTTCTTGTCAAAATGACAGGATATGTATGGAAGTGTGCAGGTTAATGGCCCTTGCCCTTCTCTGAGTGACAGTCCTCAGTGTCCCCTGCTGTCCTCTTCAAGGCTGATCGTGGTGCCTTCCTCTCCCTTCAGAATTCCCAGTTCATTTTGTTCTTGTGAGTATGCTAAAAGAGCTCCTGCATGCTGCTCAGATCAATGCCAGCTGCTGTGGGCAGGGAGTGTGCTTCAGTGGATTCCAGATCCGTGCTCTGCACACAAGTCAGCAGACCTTTGGGTTACAAATCGTGGTGTGTCCTGTCAGGTTCTGATAGCTGCAGAGTAGAGAGCATGGGCTGCTTCCAGCACAGCAACCAGTGAAAGCACTATTGCTGCTTTTCCGGAAAGTCCCTAAAATACTGTTTTTCTCAGGCTCGGAAGTGTGATTACTGGACCAAAATCCTTCAAGGAACATATTTATCATCTCAAAGAACTACTTAAAATTAGGCCCTTCTGCTCAAGAACAGAAGGAAAATGAGACAAAAGTGGAGGGAGGTCCAAACTGATGGGAGCAGTTGTTTTCTCCCTCTGAGTTTGATCTTGAGGAGGATTTTAAGACTTGCCTGGCTGCTCCTAGAAATAAGCCAGCTTATCGTGCTCAGCTGGGAGCACAGCTTTTGTCCCAAGTCAGAAAGCAGTATGGCTGCAAAAGGCAGACATTTTGTGTTTCCAATTTGTGAAGACTAACTAATCTCTGCTGGAATTTTCTTTCAGCTAGCACCTACAGGCAGTGCTTCTCTACTCAACTCCATGACCTTTATCCAGAACCCAGTTGAGGTCTGTAACCAGGTGTTCACCCTGATTGAGAATCTCACCTCCCAGATACGAAAACGTCTGGAAGACCCAAAATCTGCAGGTGAGCAACAGAACTGGAAAGAGTCTGGAAGAGGTTAATTTATTGTTACATCTTCAGAGCTCCCAAACACCACTAGTGTTTATGTGTGTCTGTAGCAAAGAAACTGTAAAGTGTAATTCTGCATGTGCTATTGATGTGGAAGGCTCCACTTTTAATTACTGTTAAAGAGAGCTGCATTGTAAAGGCGATGATATGTGCATCTTGGTTTAGAGTAAATGTAAACAGCAGCAGTATAGCCTGGAGGGGTATGCCTGTGTTCTTTCAGGCCTTTTCTGGAGACTGTAAACAGCAAATTTTTCAGTCACGATTTTCTCATCTCAACTTTCCTAGTAGCAAGTGCAGAAGTTTTACAAAGGCATCTTAGGGACCTGCCATGAGATTTATGGCAAACCTAATCGACGAGACAAATGGTTTCACTTTTCTCAGGCTTTTCAGAAGTAGCCTGTTGATGCAGGTTAACACTCCTGCAACAGATCCAGTGGCTTTTCCAGACTAGGATTCCTGTGGGTGATGGAAGAATTGGAGCCTTTTCATGCTGGGAGAGTCAGTCACAGCTGTCACTTGCAATCTCTGCGCCAGTAACCAGGGCTCTGTGATTCTGTGGATCTGGGATGTGAATGTGGTTTGGTGTTCTCTGCTTTTTTAGACCTGCAGCTGTACCACAGTGAGACTTTGGAACTGATGCTGCAACGCTGGAGTAAGCTGGAGCGAGATTTCCGCATGAAGAATGGGCGCTATGACATCAGCAAGATCCCTGACATATATGACTGCATCAAGTATGATGTACAGCACAACTGTGCACTGAAGCTGGAAGGCACAACTGAACTCTTCAAGCTCTCCAAAGCCCTGGCAGATGTGATCATACCCCAGGTATTGCTTGTATGACAAGGCCTGTGGCACCAATTTCTGACCCTTTGCCTTTGTGTTTTGTCTCGATTCTCTTGCACATTAACTCCCAAGGCAGCATGTCACAGTAGGGTGTTTCTCAGATCTGTCTTAGTGTTTGTATAAGGCCAAAACCATTTATGACTTGAAATGTGGCAGGGCTGGGCTTCTGGTTGAAGATTCTGGCAGGGTCAGAGTAATGAGCAGCTGATGTAGCAGCTTTTCCATGTTCGCTGTAGTGCATCACAGCACAGCTCCAAGCTGCATGTGTGTGCTACAGCAACATTCCATCCTCCTCCACATGCATGGTTGTGGAAGTGAAGGGAGGTTTCTGTGTTAAAGTTCCAACAAGTTTGTTACTCTTGTCAAACAAGGACTTGTTCCGTTTGCAATGTTGCGTTGCTTCTGGCAAAGTTTAATTTATATAGGATGAGCTTCTACCAGCAAGGTCCAGCTGCCCCTGTAGAGCAGAAATGTCTAAACTTTTTCAGTGTTGCTGGTGAGATGCAGTCTGTCTGTTTCCAGTGTAGCACTGCAGTTTTTATCTTAGCCAATAGCAGTTGTTGCTTTAATGCTCATGCTAGCTCAGGGTGTAAGTTTGCATGTCATGAGAGCTGAGATTCACTCGTGGTGCTTGCACCTCTCAGCTGTTGGAAGGATACTGACAGTCATGTCCAGACATAACTGGGGTTCTTCCAAGAGTCTCAGTCCTCTGTTACCCCCTGCAATACATGGGGGGAAAAAAAAGTGAGTGTTGAGGGACATTTCTCTTCCTGTCCTTGCTTAACCAGTGCTACTGCAGGCTGGGCTGTTGAAGTTAAGTGGCCTTTTGTGTGAGGATGTGGCAAAGAACCAGGGCTCAGGGTATCTGTCGTTTTGTTCCTGCAGGAATATGGGATTAATAAGGAGGAGAAACTGGAGATTGCTATTGGCTTTTGTCTCCCCCTCATTAAAAAGATCCAGCTGGACCTACAGAGAACTCATGAAGATGAGTCTGTCAACAAACTGCATCCATTGTAAGGCTTGTGCTGCATGCTGCTGGCAGTGGGGAGGGCAGCTATGGAGCAGTGGGCGGTTCCCATGCCAGAAGAGTGTACTGTTGTGGAAGGAGGTACTGAGATACTCTGAAGGACCCTCCAAGGAGGAAGGCATGTTGGTGCTCCCGGAACTAGAAGGCAGATGGAGAAGGCACATTGAGACTGCTGACTAGAAGCACAGGGCCACAAAGGCTTGTACCCATTGTAGCTGGATGGTGATGCCTTGTCCCTTTCCCTGCACAGGGCCAGTGTAGAGTGAGGAGCCACCTACTATGTGTCTCCATTAGGATCCACAAAATTTGTTGCTCCTGTGCCTAGTGTTCTCATTGTTTGTTCTGTCCTTCTGCCTCTGACATTTCCCAGTGTGGGATTGTGTCATTCCATTAAATGTACAGAAATGCTAACAGTGTGTGATAGATGGCAGTTCACTGGCAGACAGTAACTGTGGGCTGATTTTGGTTTAGGTACTCAAGAGGAGTTCTGTCACCAGGTCGCCACGTTCGAACACGGTTGTACTTCACCAGTGAGAGCCACGTGCACTCCCTGCTCAGTATCTTCCGCTATGGGGGGTTACTGGATGTAAGTGTCCCAGCAGTGCTCACAGAGTAAGCCTCCCTACTTTTTTCCAGTAGCCTTTTCCTAGGTGGACAGTGTATGTTTGTAGGTTGCCCCTTAAGCCAGCTCTCCCACAAATGCTGTGCATCGGTGGCATCTGGCCAGCTCCATCTCTGCTGTGTTTGCAATGCTGCAGCTTCCTGCCTCTCTGGCATGTAGGAGGATTGTTCTCCCTCAGTACCTCCCTTGCTTGCACAGGGACGTGTTTTCTCCAGGATCTGTCCTGCTAGTTTCAGGTGAGCAGACCATTTACCTGTCTAGGAGAATAGCAGTATGAGGCAGTGGGGATGAGTGAATTTCTTCTTTCCTACTTCCTTCAACTCTTTATTTTGAGAGGTTGGTTCTGCCTCTATAAGTCAATAAAATCTGTTTTCTTACAGAGGAAGTGACTTGAGGTTGCAAATTCACAGGATGTGCTCTCTACCAGAGGCAGATGACACACTTTTAGGGATTAATTCATCCAACTCACCCTTTACTTGCTCTCTCTTCACCTGCTTCCTGAGTGAATTGGCATGCAGACTCTGAGAAAAACTCTGCTTTATTCTTCTCAAGAAGCTCTCTGATTTACCTTCCCATTTTTAAGCATGGTCTGAAATGCCTTGAGAGTTTGGGCTTGCTTAGTATGCATGATTTCTGGCGTCTGTGGCAGCTTAGCATATCTACAGGCAGTGATCAGAAAAGTATCTTTAAATCACTCAATATAAAATAGTGAGATGCTCCCTCATTCCCTTACTCAAGTGCCCGAGGATGCCATGTTGCCAGCACGGGGATATTGGGCTGCATCTGGTTCTTTGTAGTGGAGGATTCAGTTCATGTCCATCAACGTGGTGATTCACTCCACAGCATCATGGGTGCCACTTCAGGTGTGCCCAGTTCCTGGCGGTGTTGGGAGGTAGTGAAGGGTGCAGAGCCCAAGGGTTCAGTGTGTCTCAGACTTTTCATTCAGCATCAGGTAAAAGCATTTTACTTGGTCCCTTATTTAGCACAGGTTCGTCCCTTGTGCTCCTTTGTGTAGTTTGAGCATGGCTGTGTTTGGGAAGCTGCTGTGGGCTCTGCTTGTCTCCAGTCAGCGTGGCACAGCAGCTTGCAGCTCAGACCTGCTCATGGCTGGCTTGGGCAGCTGTAGCACCTCTCTGTGCAGCTGCTCCTCACTGCAAGCACCCCACCACATTGCAAGGTCATTCCTCCATGCAAGTGAAACAAGGTGCTTTTGTCCTGACAATGTTACCTTGTGGAGAGAGGAACTCTCTCAGTCCCATTTCACTGAATGCTGCAAGGTGTCTGCTGTTGCTTATCCCATGCGACTGTTTATGTGTATGTATCAGGAAAACAAAGACCAGCAGTGGAAGAGAGCCATGGACTATTTGAGTGCTATCTCAGAGCTGAACTACATGACCCAGATTGTTATCATGCTCTACGAGGACAACAACAAGGTGAGGGATAGAGCAGTAGGATACAATGCTTCCTGCTCCGTTGCAAGGTACAGTCCTCAGAGAGGAGTGCAGTTGGAAGTCTGTAACTTGAGCTCTTGCTGCTTATGAACAAAGACAGATGGATCATTAACACAACTGCTAGGTTTTAGTTTATGTGGGAGGCAGTGACCCAGTTAATGCTTGTTACATGTGACCAGAATGTCACCCTGAGCAGTAATACCAAACTTATGTAATTAATACTGGCTATTGTAAAGCATTTCTTAGTGCAAAATTGTTTGCTGCTTTTAAGTATTAATTGCAAGTGAACAGTAGGAAAAAATAAACTGAATGGTATTTGATTTGTATTTTTGAAATATATCTAGAAAATATCCAGAAATTCCATAAAGTATTTTCTATTCTCAAGCCAAACTGCATGTCCCGATGATCAGACTTTGTGACTCGGGTCTGTGCTGCAGGAGGTTGTAGTGGTGAGGGGAGCAGCCCCTTACCCCACACCTTATGGAGTTAGAACTGGTGTGAGCTTCTGTTAGAAGTGATGCTTGTCAAAGAACATGTTACTAGAACTCTCATGAGTGGTGTGGATGTGTCAGTCAGTCAAGATGGGTTTAGATGGGTTTATATCATTGCTACCAGATACTGTAAAAGCTCTGGCTTCCTTAAAAAATGTTAATGAAAAATTATTATTAGAGAAAGTTACTTAAATCTTGGAACAGCCTGACTGAAGGTCCAGGAGGGACCCAGTCTCCCCCTGTCCTGGCATGTGCTAGGTTTCCAGCAGGAGTGGGTCAGAAGGGACTGGGGTTTAGGGATATGTGTTTGTGTATAAATAGAGCCTGATTCTGTTGTACTCCTCTGTAGCTGTTGTCCCAAAATAGCCGCAGTCAGAATGCCTCAGCTGTGTGCTGTCCTTTTGGATGGGACAAAACGAGCCATTCTGTTCATGCTTGTTGCTCCTGCTTTCCCTCCAAAGGATGGGCCTGGGATGTGTGCTGGCCAGCACAGCGGGGTGGGACCTTGGCCTGGACTGATGGTGGGATTAACTGGGTGTGGTTCTTTACCTATTCCCTGTGACGTGAGTTCACAGGACCCCTCTTCGGAGGAGCGTTTCCATGTGGAGCTGCATTTCAGCCCTGGTGTCAAAGGCTGTGAGGAGGACAGGAACATCCCCACGGGCTTTGGCTTCCGGCCAGCCTCAGCAGAGGTGAGTGGACACCTGGGCAGGGCTGCCAGCCCCAGGGACACCTGGGCACTGTCCTGCTCTGTCTGGCCCTGCTGCAGAAGCTTCCTTGCTGGCAATGCCCATGGGCAGCTGGCAGGTCGTGTCTTTGTCCCATTTGGGTTTGTCAGGGTGGCTGCTGGGACTGGGGGTGCCTCCTGAACTTGGCAGAGCAGGAGGTCCAAGCCTGGAGCTGGTGTGGGGCAGCGTGGGCAAAGGCCACATGGCTGTAAGCTGAGTGGAGGGTTTCCTTACGGCAGAACGAGGACAAGAAGGCAGACCAGGGCAGCCTAGAGGACCTGTCGAGTGAGAAGGGCAGCGATGAGCCAGACAGAGCTCGGCAGAAGTCCCCACAGCCCTCGGAGCCCGTCAGCATCCAGCGAAGGTCACCCCTGGTCAGGAGCCGCAAGACAGGATCCATGGAGGTAACCGTGGTGCCCTTCCTTGCTCTTGAAAAGGCCTTTTGCTTGGTTCTGGTTTCCTGGCATTTCATTTAATATGCCAGAGTCTGAGTTGATTCTGGGAAAGGATCTGCAGAAGGTAAAGAGGGATGTTGTGGAAAGCAGACCTCTGAAACTCTTCCTCATTGAGGAAGAACAGGAACACAGGCCAGAGGAACTGATGAGGAAGAGCAAGTAAGGAAATGCTTGAGAAAAACACAAGCATTGTCTGGATTACATGCTCTATAGAGACACGGGTGTAGCCATTATGAGATTACATGCAACCTCACCACCTAGCTGTGGTGACATCTTTGCCTTCTGATAGGCTCCAGCCTTTGCCTTTGACAAAGGCAGCTCCACGTTTCTCATTCCCCCATCCCTTCTAAGATTTCATGCTGGTAAGGGGTCCCTGCTCACTGGTGGATTCATCCAGGGTGTTTAAACTGTCAGGGCTTAGAACTGTCTCATTCACTGATAGGAAGTAACAAAATAGATTTTACTGTTCTATCCTCTCTCCTTCCCAGGCTGTTCTGTGTCACAAGGCCACTGTTATGGTCAGCAGGTGACTGTTACTTTCAGAGTACTCTGGAATTTTCCTTCCTTTCAGAGGGATTGCACAGGCATTTTTGCCGTTGGTTTTCTGAACCAGAAAACAGCAGAGTTAAGGTTTGAGGTGTTTGTTAGCTGTCTTCCATTGCTGTGTGTTACTCAGTGTCACCTCTGCGTGCAGCACACAGAGGCTCTTTGTGATAGGCACGTACTAAGTTAAAGGGGATATGATTTCTTGCTGCTAAAGAAGGAAGTCTGTGTCCCAGGGATCTCAGCAAGAGTCTTGGGAGAATAGGTGCTCGCTACACGAATCCCATCATACTTTTCAAGTTTCCACTATTCACTCTCCAACATAATCTTGAAATTAAAATTGAGCATTCATTGTCACAATCCTAGCATATGACTACCTTTGTGCTTCTTGAAGACGGTGATTTTAAGGAAGAGATATACTTTTCTTTACCTTCAAATGATGTATAAAGGCTTTTGATAGCAGTGGGTAACTTGGAGCATGATGCTGATTAATTACACTGTGTCTTTGCAGGTGCTGTCTGAATCTTCTTCTAAATCAGGAGGTTATCGCCTCTTCAGCACTTATTCCAGGCAGTCTTCTGAGATGAAGCAAAGTGGATTAGGTACTGTACCTGACCTGTATCCAGCCTACTCACTTGTACCTCTCTATTTCCATGGGCATTAGTCTGTCTCCACACACACATCTGGCTTGAGTTCCTTTTATGTCTCTGTGTTTTCTCTGAGTGTTACTGTTGAGACCACTGTAGAGTCTGTCTTGTCGGTACCTTTTGTGTACAAACTTCTCCTTCAGCTGCTAGTAGCAGAAGATGCTGCACTTTTCATCCTTTCCAGTATGGGAGCAGCAGGGCCATCTGCCTACCTGCAGGCTTGCCTCTGCTTCTCTGTTGCTCTCATTTGTTACACCATTTCTCAGCTTAGTAGGAAGAGATGATTTTAGGTGAGAACTAGTGTACTTTCCGTTCTGCAAAACATCAGTTTGTATGCAAAGCTGTTCTTTGTGTGAGACTGTTCTGGTTCTACCTTTTCTTCAGGAAGATCTGTTGTATGGAACGGATGTGTCACATACTGAATATTTGGTAGCTCTCTGATCGAGCTGAAGTCCCTGGTCAGCCATTCTTCTTGTGGTAGCCAGCAGAAGAGAATATTTCAGAGCACTTGACATTCTCTGTCCTTGATTGTTCCATTCCATGTCATCCTAACCTAAACTATGTCTGAATAGTTGAAATTCTTCTTGAAATATTTTTGCAAAAGCAAGATCTGTTTTAAAACTGGGAAAGCTGTCTTTGCTGTCATGAGATTCAGAGATGGCTGTGAAACCCGTGTCCTGAAGAGAGGAGGTGATAATGCCCAAGTCATGCCTACTTTCTTTTTCTTTAAAACTATCTCAGCATTGTGGCATGGCTGCAGACTTGCAGCAGTTCTGACTCATCATTCTGTTACCTGGACAACCTGCAGCCAAGAGACTTCTGCAAGGCCTGCTCATTTCTTTGCCACGTTTGAATGAGCAGCTTCTTTGGAATCTAATACTTAGGAAAAGGAATTTTCTTCTAAATGGTTAGAAAGTATCCCTGGAGTCTGCCAGCTATGCTTCCAGCCAGCTGGAAAAATCTAAATAGGAATGCTGATGTGTATTTTTTTCACAAAGGGACAGTAGCCTTGGCCATGGTAATTTTTGAATGTGTTATTTCACTTATTTCTGCCTTTCCTAGTGCCACTGCGAGATTCAGTGAGCTGTGACAAACTGCCCTGCTTAGGCTTGAAGAAACCTGTGGTTATTCTGTGAGTCCATATGGATGAATATGGGAATTTCTGAAATGGCACATAGTCAAGGAGGTGCATCTGCCTGGAGAATTACCGAGTACATCAAATGGTACTGCAAACTGGTTTTACAGTTTGGATGTGCTACCAGAAGGCCTGTGCTCTGGAAAGCAGATATTACAGCCCTTGGACTACAGCCTGTTCCAGGTTTTTGAAGAATGTGTTTTGGCAATAGAGAAGACTGTTGCTTTTCTACACGTTTGTACAGTACTACTTTTCCTTCACAACAAAATCTGAGATGTGATCCTGGCAGGTTTAATTTCAGAATTTTGCTTCATGCACCTTGCTGGGAAGCTTGTGCTGCTTACTCTCCCACCTGTGACGCTCTGCTGGGACAAAACCTTGAGAAGGAACTGATAGATCTGATCTGTGACATAGACCTCCAGCCCAGCCATTGTTCTCTGTAGAGTCTTGCAGGTACAGAAGGATTGAGCAGGAGAGACCAGTTGTACCAAACCAGCTTGCACAACACTTGGTGATTAGGATATCTGTGTTTCTGTGAGGTTTTTTTTTTCACCTGAGGCCTGCTACAAAGAACCATGCCTCTTTACCTGTACAAGTCAAGCTCTTCAAGGAATCTTCCTGATTCCTTTCCTGCTTATTTTTTTGGAATTCAATTTCTTGCCCCTTTAGGATTTGAAATGTGTTCTCTCTCTAAGAGATAATACAGAACTCTGGAAGCTTGAACTTTGGCTTTCATGCTTGTCTCAGCAGCTGTCTTAGGAGAGGGTTCGTTCAGGCACTACCTGCTGTTTCTGAGTTTTCTGAAGCTGAGTGTACCTCCAGTTGCCTGACCTTGTCAGTCGGTGTCTGGCTGTCATTATCTCTGGAAAATGGAATATCTGTTCTGGTGTAACCTCCCATGTGTAGGCATGCAGGAACAGAGAGCATGAGAGAGCTCCTGCAATAGCTCTATCCTGCTGCCATGTCTTCCAGAATGGTGCCTCTACTGTAATTTAAAAAATGAAATTCCTGTTTTGAAAATAGGTGGCTGCAGCTTGCTTTCTCTGTGCTTTGGAGTGTGGCATGTTTTTCTGGGCAGCATCAGGTGCTGTGCATTGCTGTGGATTGGTTGCCATAGGGTATGTGCTTCCAGCTTGAGAAGCCTAGGGATGTTTCAGTACCTTTCTTTGCTTACAAGAGCCCTTCAAAATGGAGTAAAATCACTCCTGTCTGTTTGAGCAGTAGAGGTGGTACACTGCCAGTGGCACAAAGCCTTGTGCTGAGATTCCCACAGGGAAACCAAGAATGGCTATTTTTAAACAACGTTGGATGAACACATGACAATTAAATGCACAGTGAATATCCCTCACATACGGTAATTTCTAGCAAATGTTGCTACATTTAAATCCAAATGGCCATTGTGTTCTTTAGGATGTGTGTGTGTGTTTGTGTGTGGTTACTTTGGGTACAGTGGTCTTCTGGAGCTCACTGTATACAATTGCTGTGGTCCATAAAGTCATCTTTGTAAATTCTCTTCTGGCTTAAGGGCACTGGCAAAATGCCTGTCTGCAGCAGGAGAGCAGAAACACTGGGGTATCCTTAGCTTAATGATTAACAGCACAAGGTTGCTCAAGATCTACAATCCTAAAAATCTGATGTTCCATTTTTATCTACAAGTAAATGAATTTGTTGGGTGGTTTTTGTTGTTTGTTTTTAAACCATGGAAGAGCAATTAGGAGCATCATCCTGTCTGATGCATGACATGAAATGAAATTTCATTTGCATTCCAACAGATTCCAGTTCATGCTAAGTCAGCACTTTGCATCAATTTAGAGCATTAGGAGGAAATTTTCTAAGGTTTATGTACCAGTGACCCTGCAGGCAAGAATTCTTTTGTGTTGCAGGGCATGCATGTGCTAGTCTGTGCTGTGGAAAGCTGGCAGCAGTGTCACAGTGAGGGAGCAGCTGCAGTTCAGTGCTACAAGGACCCTTTTGGTCACCCAGCAGCAGGTGTCCTCAGCTCAGCCTGAGCTTATACAAGAGCATTTCAATGCTCAGGGTCTCTGTGTTTTCTCCAAAGAAGCTCTGGCTTAAGGATCTTTGCAGGAACAGAGCTGGGGTCCTGAGGAGCAGCCAGTGGATGTGAAGCAGCAATGTGTCCTCACAGCAGGGAAGGCTGGCAGCATGCGAGGCTGCATCAGCTGCAGTACAACTGTCCAGCTGAGGGGTTTGGCTCTTTCCATCTGTTCACCTCTCGTGAGTGCCTGAAGCTCTGCTGTCGTGCCCTGGGCTCCCTGGGGCATGGAGGGTGTGTGTCAGGATTGTGAACCCTCTGTGGGGCACTGGGAGTGGGTGGGAAGCCTGGAGCACATTGTGCTGGAGGAGGAACTGGGAGCCATGCTTGCTCAGATTAGAACTTGTGGGAACTGGAGACCTTAATGCTCTTTCAGCACCTAAATAGGAGGTTGCAGAGAGGACAAACTATCCCCAAAGCCTCACGCTGGCTGGTGGAGAACCAACGAACACAAGTTGCAGCACAAGAAAATCCAATTAGCTAGGAGGAAAAGATTTTTTCACCCACAGTGAATGTGCCAGATGTTAGAGCAGGGGCCCAGAGAGATTGTGATATTTCCTTTCTTGGAGGTATTGACCACTTGATTGGACAAACCCTAGCAAACTGATCTGAGTTGGTCCTGCTGGGGTGTTGAGAAAGAAGCTTCAGGCTTCTTCCAACTTAAATCATGCTATGGTGCAGTATTTTAGAATCAAGAGCTGCTTCCAATGTAGGCAGGATTTCTTTCACAGCAGTAACAGTTGTACTGTTCCAGATAAATACTATTAGACAATGTTGCAGATTTTTTGCCTTGGCAGACAAGGTGGAACCAGACCCATCTGCGTGTTTCTGGAAGCCTTTTGTATGTAGGTGTGATGTTGGTTTGAGCAGTCCATATTCTCAGTACAGAATGCAGCAGCAAGACGGTTTAGCAGAGAATTTACAGCCAATCAGTGGCTGTGTCTGGCGCATAATAAGGTTTTATCTCGACTCACAATTGCTTTTCCTCAGTTGAAAGAGTCCTCTCTCAAGTGCTTGGTGTTTTCTAAATATCACACATAGTCGAGTCAGTCTTCAGAGCACTGTGCCTTGGAGAAGCAAAGCCAAAGCCCCAGGAATGAGGTTGCCCTCCACCTTGCATGCCACGTTCCGTGCTGTGTGCACACCTGGTGCTTTGCAAGGCTTGTTCAGGGACCAATTGCTCCCGTGCTGGAGCAGTGAGACATGGCCCAGTAATGTCTGTCTGTGAAGTACAAACTTGTGAGCACAAGCCCTCTGGTCACAGCACTTTCTCTGCCTGTTTGACTGGAGAGAAATCCACACTGGCTGATGCACAGGTCAGACAGTTCTTTCCTCTCTTCAATGTCCTACATAAAAAGGAGCTTTCCGAAGAGAAAGGGTAGAAGAGCAGAGCAATGAATGTCCATGACATGAACATCAGTGGTTTGGCATCCTCACTGTTCTGACATCAGTATGTGGCTTTGCTGACTGAAAGGGGTGGAGGTGTTTCTCCTAGGTCAGGGCAAGAAAGCCAAATGGAAGTAAACCTCTGGATGGAGTTAGGAACTTTCCTGGTGCTGAGGTTTGTGCTACCTGCTCTACATTTGGCACTGTGGAATTTAGAATGGCGAGCACAGCCTCCCTGTGCTTCCAGGCATCACGGTTTTTCCTGAAATTGCTTGTGAAGTGGCCAGTTCATTCTTCATCCTTTGACTAACCCTGCTTTTCTGTGGTTGCATGCAGTGGATATGTGTTACTAACACCTTCCCTGCCTTTCCAGGGTCACAGTGCACCGGGCTGTTTAGCACCACTGTGCTGGGAGGCTCCTCCAGTGCCCCCAACCTCCAGGACTACGCCCGCAGCCATGGCAAAAAGTTTGCCAGCAGCCTGACATACAAAGACGGTATGTGTGTTCCCTGGCAGCAGCGTGGTACTTTGTGGCCATTGGTGTCTCCAAGATGTGCTTGTGGCACAGGCTTGGACTGCTGAAAATGGTGACAGTTGAATGTGTGTATTCACCACATCTACAGGGATAAATATTACCATATCCCACGAAATCATGATACTTGCTAGGACAGATGGGCTTGGCATTGTGAGAGGAGTTTCAGGGTGATGTGTGGTATTGCTGTGGTCTGATTTTGGTGTGAAGTTTTAATAGTATTTGCTGTTGTGAAGGAGGATTTATTGGTCCAGGTATTAAATAGGTTTGTCCTGGTAGGGAAAGTCTGGCTTCTGTGTAGCTGTGCAAAAACTGCCAGGAAGGTCAGCAGGAAAGTCTGGTGAAGGCACTGGGGCCAAGGTAACAAAAGTTTCCCTATGCCCATGCGTGCAGGTGCTGCAGCTGTACCCTGACCTGCCAGCAGCGCTTGGTGCCATGTGCAGGGAGCAGCAGAGGGTTGTTTCTTGCAAGGAAGTTGGGGCACAAGGGCAGATTGAGCTGTCCTGAAACAGCTGGAGGGTGTAATGCACAAGTGCAAGTGTCCACTGTGGTCCCAATGGGAAAGACACTCACTCAGACTCTTCAGTACTGCATCACATCCTGTTTGTTGGGACACTGATTTGAGGGGCTCCATGGGCAGGGTCTGCACAGCATACTCTGACAAGGTTGGAAATCCAGCTGAGGTTTCCCAGCAGTTGAATGCATGGATTTAAGCTTGTCTGACTTGGATATCTTATCTTTTTAATCAGTACAGAATCTGAGTGCCTTTTTATTGGGATCATAAGGAACATTAACATTGCTAGATTTCAAGGTGGGAAGAGGATTAAGGTAGTAGTTTGGGGAAGACAGGAGGTTGATTCATCTGGATTTTTGTCCAGTTTTGAGGCAGGGAAATGGCCTTGCAAATCAGAATGGAAAGATGTTGTCCAATTCTCAGCCCTGTTGGAACTCTGTAGGTGCCCTGATGTACACTATCTGCCTGTGCTGCTTTTCTTGTGTAAGAGAAAACCGAGCTGGTTCTCACCCCCTCAGGGCACTCCCTGGCACACAGTGAGCTGTGAATGACAGTGGCAGGGATGGTGAGGTGGGAGTGTTCTCAACCCCACTGTACCAGTCTGAGCTGCCCCAGGCAGCAAGTACTGGCTACTCACAGGTTGCAGAATAAGCTGATGGTGTTTGGCACAAGACCAGGGTGTGAGTCACGGTGGAACCTCTGAAAAGGCCAGCAAAGGCCCTGTCTGCTGTTCTTTCCTGACTGCAAGGAATGGGAGCCCAAGGCAGCACTGATTCTCAGGGAAAAGCATCAGAGGCTGCTCTGTGCCCAGCTGGGCATGGAACAGACCTGCTCAGTCCTGGTGCTGGCTGCCTGGCTCTGGGGGCTGTGATGTGCCTGCAGCAGACTACTGGCATTCAAGGCCATGGACTCCTGCTGCTTAAGCCAAGATTCACTGACAAGCTCTCTGTGATGCACTTGTGATGTAAGATGCACTTGTACCCTCAAGTACCTAAAATGCACATGCTAGTTGACTAGTATGTGTCTAACAGAGCTCAGAATTATAAATCTTGATGTCATACCTCTGTTTCCATGTTCCTTGGCGTGCCCTGGGACCCTGTGCCTTGCTGCAATGAGGGCATTTGGAGAGGAGGTGTAGGGGGCATGGGAAAACAAGGAGGAAGCAGGGCATTTAGCTTCTGGGGAAGGTAGTTTGGAACGTGAAATGAGCCCTTGATCTGCATGTTTCTGCTTAAATTAGCACTATTGAAATATTGAGCTATGGAATTGAATCCAAACCACGCTGGTTGCAGTCAGTGGCACGGCAGCTACAGCAGACTCTTGGAGAACATTTGTTTCAAGACCTTTACCACACTCTCTAGACTAATAACATTGAAAAGCAACACATTTTTGCATGAATTCTGATAGTTGTTCATGGCTGTGATGCTCCAAGGTGCAGTGTGTGGCATATAGCACTTCACCAATGTTAACTTGCCTTGTTCCAGGGAAGTTTCAAGGGCCCCTATTTCTGAAGTCTTTTTTGCTTGGAGCTGGAGGAGGGCTAAGGATCACTTCAGCAGAAAGTTTTCTCAACCTCAAGCTGAGGGAAGGTCCATGGATGGTTGTGATTTCAAGTTGGCTTGCCTGAAGCCAGGGATCCAGTAAACTGGGTCAGTGCCATTTCAGTTGATGTGCCCTCAGGGCAAGGGGAGGTGTGGGTGGGATGGAGGTGGTCACCAGCTGACTGCAGCTCCAGGGCTTAGACACTTCCAAGGGCTTGCCCGTGTAGGGAAGATTGTCATGCTGTTGAGTTTAAAAAAAGAAAAACAATTTTCAGGGCTGGTACACTAGAGGAGGAGATTTCAGTAAGGGTTGGTTTAGATACATGATTTGGCCAAGCCACTGCATGTAGCTGTAGGAGCCCGTTGGGAGTGTGGAGCATGCATTGGTGCACTGATGGGGGATAGACATACACACCCTGTGAGCTAGGGAGAATGGATGCATGAAACATGAAAGAGAAATATAAGGGCTTTCTACTATTTTCTGAAAGACCCCCAATAGCAGCAAAAGGTATGATGGCTGGGATCTCACATGAAATCCCACATATAGATGATCTGATCCAGGCCATTCTTTTTCATGGTAGCTGAGGAATTTCCAGTGTGGGAAAAAAATAAAGCTTCCAGCCTTTTTTTTTTTTTTTTTTTTTTTTTGTGTGTGTGTGTGTGCATACAGAGCCTAATCCATGTCCTTTAAAGCTTATCTGTTTGCATCCCATTAGATGCACAGTGTCTGTCCTTGCACGGTCTTTCTGATATGTGATTTGTATGGGAGAGCTTGGCCTGGCCTGGGGCGTGGCCAGGAGAAGCCTGAGGACCACTCTGACAGGTGTATCCCAAAGCTTCCCCTGTACTGAAATGTTTGGAGTAGAGAACTGTAGAGGCATGTCTTCATGGGTCTTTTGCTTCCTCCCTACTCAGGTGATTTACCTTTAAATTCATGAATAGCTCTGTATAGCTTGCATTAAGAGGTTGTTTTGAGCTGTACCTGTGCTGGAACTCCTCAGTTCCTCTGCAGAGCAGTGTATTTTCCCTTGGGCACAGGTGAATCCTGAGAACAGTCCTCCTGTGCTGCTGCTGCTTGCTGGGCCGTGTGCCCTGGTGGCTGTGAGCATGGCCTGGCTGCGTTCACACTGAGCCTGCTGTGGTGGGAAGGTGCGAGTTGCTGGCTGAGGGACTGAGTGTGGCTGAGTGTGTAGTGTCAGGGAGACCCTGGCAGGGCGGTGCAAAGGCTGGGGAGATGCAGAATGGGTCAGTCAGACCCACGGGCTGAGTGCCAGCCCACAGCAGTGCCAGAGGGAGCAGCTGTTGTGGGGGTCAGCAAGGTGAACCTGACAGTGTAATCAGGTGTGTGAAGGTCGGGCATCCTTTGAAGCAGGCTGTTAACTGAGATGATCTGTTTTTATTTCCTCAGAGCTCTTGTCTATGCCAGCCGTAAAACGATTTTCTGTGTCGTTTGCAAAGCATCCGACTAATGGTATGTTTGCTTTCTGGATTTGATGTTCCCTCACACTTCTAACCCCATGCTCACGTTCACTTTTCTCTGCACATGTTCTCCTCTCAGCCTTCTTGTGGTTTCTTTGTGTTTGTGTATCTGATGTTCAAACATGCCTCACCTTCCTCCATTGCGTCCTTGTGACTGATGTGCTCACTCATACCCTGTTACTGCTCAGTAGTGCCTCTGCTCTCCCCTGAGGTGTTTTTGTTCCAGGTGAAAAGGCAAAAGCCATGGCTCTGTGAGTGGGCTGCTAAAGCAGCCTTCAACTCCGTGGTGACATTAAGGCCTTTTGTCATGCTCCCTTTTGGGAGGGTGGGGATCAGGGGGAGAATACCACTGGACTGGGGGCTGATGCCCACTCCATATCGTGAAGCATCAGCATCTTAGGTCCTCAGTTTCTACACTGCAGATTTGTAGAATGCAAACAAGAATAACACCAGGACAGCTGTGTGTCACCTGGAAGGGCCTAGTGTATAGTGGGAAAGTAGGAAGTGTCAGGAGTACTGGTAGCCTTATGGCCTCCTGCTGTCACATCTCTCTGTTAGGCTGATCCTGTGGTTTCTCCAAGCGTGGTGATGTTGGCACAGGTAGGCTCATCTTTTCTGCAGACATTACCCTGTGAATTGTGTCTCTCCAGAGCTCTTACTCGTCTGCTGTTGGTGGATGGTGCTGGCTTGGCGGGAGGAATGGGCATCGTGCTGCCTGGGGTGGCATCACCTGCTTCATCCCAGCCCCTGTATCTCTGGAAAGACTTGGTGACAGATGTCTGAAAGAGCTTCTGCTAATTCACTGTCTCTTCTCCATGTTGCTACTTACCTGACAACCAAAGTGTGAGTCTGTGAGGTTATAGGTCACTAGCTCTGTTGTAGCAGGTGCCTTGAACTTGTTTACTCTCCAACTCTTGCACAGATACATTTAAAAAGGTTTCACAGCACCCCTCCTCTTGCATGGCTCCTGCTGCTGAGACAAGTTGGAACCAAAGGAGATCACTGAACGCTACCAAGTATTTCTGCCTGATGTGATCAAGGCAGCTTGTGAATATGAAGACATCCTGCTTGGTGTAATCTGGAAGATGAATGAAATTCAGAAGATTGTTCTGGAAATCAAAGTTTTGGGAAGGATGAAGTGGGAAAGGGCGGCTCACTGTGGCTTTACGAGTTTCGAATAACTAGAGGGAGCCTGTTCTCTGTGTTTGCTTGGTTTTGGTTTTCCCAGGGTGGCCAGCTGCTTGGCTTGTCTGTATGTCTGGACACCATCGGAGCTCACATGGTGGATGTCAGCAGGGTGTGTTGTTCTCTCTTGCCTGCAAAGGTTGTACCAAGTCCCAGCCTTTCCTAAAACACGCTATAGAGCAGTTGCCCCTGCTCTAAATATGATAGGATGAAACCGGGCATCATGTTTCTGCCAAAAACCCAATTAATATTTCTGATGGCAAAATGCTTCTCAATCAAGAAAACAAAGACAAGGTCCAGCAGGTGAGAGCTCAAAGTCAGGGATATTTCGTCTAGGATTGGCACTGCTTTGAGCAGGAGGGATGTTTACCCCATGAACCACTTAAAAAACTGAATGCAAAAAAGTATTCCCAGCTCTGAGTCTGGATTTTGTTTCTGGAGAGCTGCCTCTGTGTGGTGAAATGGAGTGGGTGAATCAGGGTAGTGGTCAAGCACAGCATGAGGCCAGATGGTTTATGCCCTGGTCACACAAGTCTTGGGCAGGTGACGTGACTCCTGAGGCTGTGTGTAGGGAGAAGACATGCCTGCGTGCTGGTGTCTTGTCTGCCATGCCAGGACATGACAGAAGATTGCACAGGGCTGTTCTCAAAGACAGGGAAAGTCAGTGCTTCTGTGCTCCGTCTGTTCTTCTGCACTCTGAGCACTCGGCTCTCAGTCAGACCCTGCTGTCCCCCCCAAGTCTCTTGCACAGCCTCTGCTCATTTGCTGCTGGGCCTTTTGCTCTCCCCCGTGCTGATGTGCCTGGCTGCGCTTGGATGCAGGACTCAAACACTGTTGGCAGTCTGGGTTTCTCATCTCAGCTGTGGGAGGGCAAGTCTGGCCCTGAGCCTCATCTTTTTATCTAGCCAGACCTGAACTGCATTGGACTTGGAATGTGTCTTAAAATTTATTCACTTGTCAGACTTCCCCCTACAAAGATGAGCCCGTGCTGCTCAGGCACTGCCGTGCACTGCAGCTGGGTGCAGCTGGGTGCAGCTGGGTGCAGCAGGGTGCAGCAGGGTGCAGCTGGGTGCAGCAGGGTGCAGCTGGGTGCAGCTGGGTGCAGCTGGGTGCGCTGCTAAGCCTGGGCTGGGTGGGAGTCTGGTCTGCCCTGGTGTCACTGGGGGGACATGACTCTTAAGGGCATTCCTGACCTGTTCACTGTGGGAGGGATTGGGCTTAGTGTGTGCTGTGGGTCCTTCTCACCCAGCGGCCCTGGTGCTGGCAGCTCCATCCCCACATCTCCACAATTTCTCTGTCCCTCTCCTCTCACTCTCTATGGCCCCTTTCCTCCAGATGTGTTGGAGCACCAGCACGTTGCCCAGTTGCTACGCCGTTTTTCCTCTGACTGTGCCACGAGCCGGACCATCTGCTTGGATGCCACCCTAGCCCATCACCTGCAGCACTGCTCCTACCACCTGCGCCTCTTCAGGAGCTGGCTGATCTCAGGGCAGGATGACTTGGAGTGTCTTTACGGTACTGCACGCTGCAGCTGCCTCTGTCCCGTGCTCTTGTAGCTGAGCAGGGACCACTGTCTGCTTGAGAGTGCAAAGTATGCTTTGCTTCTAAAAATAGGAAAGCGTTTCCCTCACCAAATCCCCAGGGTCTCTGGGCTGCTGCAGCAGCAAGCTGTGTGGGCTGTTGTACCAGCAGTTTTGGAGCCTTAGGCAGGAGCCTTTCCACACGGAGCGTCTGCTCCCCGTGTGGCTGTAACTGCTCTTTCCATCTTGGGCAATTGTTTGTTGCCTCCTTCCTTTATCCAGGGTAAGCCCTTGAGCTCCCTTCAGGGTCGGTGCTGAGCTCCTATCCATGGGATGCCCTGCTGGCAGGATGCTCTGTGCAGGTCTTGGTGTCCCCGTAGTGATGGAGGAACCAAAGTGAGTAGTGAGAGTGTAGGAAGAGATTAAGGAGGTGCTGCAGCTGGTCACAGGCTGAGTGAACTTGCTGTGGAAATTTTGAGGAAGTGAGTGCTTGTGGGTGTGTTGTATCTAGAGAGACTGAGTTAAGACAGGGTCGAGCTGAGCTTCTGTGTGGCTGCACTGCATGGCATCTTTCTTGTCTGATAGGGCCTCTCAGTGTGTCCTGTCTCTGATGGGAAGAGGTAGGCGACTTCAGCATTGAATCCAGATGTTACAAATCAAAGCTTGCTGCTGTTTCTCTGGAGTTTTTCAGCCTCTGTTACAGACAGGAAGTCTGGTGCATGGAGGCCGTGGTGCTTCGTGCACAGGCAGAGATTGCTGCTCCCTGAGCGAGGCAGTGAGCTGGGGCTGGCTGCTGAGGTTGAGCTGCTCGGGGCATGTGGCTTGCTGAGCTGTGTGCTGTGATGCATGGACCCCCTTTTCCATTCAGACCCACAGGGGGAAGGGGCACAGACAGTGCAGCCTTCCATGTAGTGAAGCATTTTCAGAGCCTGGAAGATGAGAACTTTTCCTACACGATCTGTTTTTCCTTGATAAGGCCCTTTCTGTCAAGCAGGCAATTTTGAGACAGTTAGTTACTTTTCACATGTAATTAGGACAATTCCTTGGTCTACTGGCAGCAAATGCTAAAGAGAAGCAGAATTGCTTCAAGGGGAGAGATGCTGGATCACAGCAGACTGCTCCAGAGCAAGGGCTGAGCTTTCCCCTCTGCAAGTCTTGGCCATGTTGGTGAGCTCGGGTGGGGAGAGGAAGTGAGCTCAGTGCTTTGGGCACAGCAGGCTGCTGGGAGGTGCATCCTGCCCTGACACAGCCAAACACAGGCATTAGGTGCTCCTTACCTAACTCCTTACCAGCACAGCAGCCCTCCCAGCTGGAAATCAGATCTCCACCATCGAGTTCATGCTGTTTTCCCAGTCGGTCAGCAAGCCCACAGTTCATTGATGTGTTTGGGATTCCTGCTGAGGCTCTTCTCAGAGCAGACATAGTTGACAGCCCAGGTTTCTCCCTTGTGAAAACTGCATTCTTCTGTCCTCTCTTGGCTTTCTACTGTACTTCTATCCTCACAAAGGAAACATGAATTAGAAGATAGAATCGGTGAGTAAAAGTATGCAGTTGGCATCAATAGTTGGAAAGATCAACAGTGGAGCCTTGAGGGAATGTCTGGGAACCTGTGTGGTCATAGCTGGGAAAAAGAATAGTGTGAAGTAAGCTCATGTTGGTGAGGAATCACACTGGTACTGGAGCCAAAGGTCAGCTGTGGACAAACGGAGAGCAGCCCTGTGATGATGAGCAGGAAAGTAGTGGTGATGTCCAGTGAAAATAAATTTAAATTACAAAGGGAAGCAGCCCCAAACTCTTATATATAAAATAGTGGGCTCTGATCTGACCATCATCACTTGAGACAATGTGGAACAGGTAGAAATCTGGGAAGGATGTTTGTAATAGTGGTCCGAGTGGCCTGAGGGAGGGGTGGGGATCCACAGTTCTGTATAGCTCCAGGAGCAAGGAGGTTTCTAATGGAGTGAGTTGAGACACTTTGGAGAGGAGTACCTGGGGATGTTGGGAGCTTAACTGAGTTCAAGGGGAGATGAGAATATGGAAGAGACACACAATGTCCAGAGCAATTCTGAGCTGTGGGATCACTGATGTTTGGGACATGTGGCATGTTGGGAGTTTGTCCAAGAAAATAGGGGTGGACTGATCATGCATACGAGAGAGGAGCCTGGTGAGTGCTTTTGTTTGTGCTGAGACTGTACAAGTGCTTCTTCACTCCAGAAGGGCTGGCATACAGAACATTGGCACACAGAACTTCCTCTGTGGGCTGCTGTTGGATGATGGTACAAAATGTCTGGAATTCTGTCCAGTGCCATTGTCTGCATCACAGACTCCTGACCTTCAGGCCCCAGGAAAGAGTTTGAGGAAGCATCAGCAGTACCTGCACGGACAGCACAGGGTAACTGTCAGTCTGGGACAGTTGTGTGGGTTGCTCTCACATTTTATTTTTCTTACCCCTTCCTAAAGGTGTTGGTTCTATGCTGTGTGGTGCAGCAGTGGTTGGAGCCTTCCCTGGAGACACGTAGGGATTGTGATCCGTAGTGGGAGCTGCTGCCTTTGCTGTGCTGTGGAGGCAGGAGCCACTGCTGGTCTCTCCCCAGCAGCTCAGCAGGTCCAGGGAGGTGTGCAGGGAAGTGGAGTCCCAATCACAAATGAGAGGGATTCCTTGAACACAGTACTCCTCCACCTTGAAAGAGGAAGCTTTGGCCAGTTTGCTCTGCTTGCTCGAGAGTGGTGCAGTGCCACAGTGCTGTGCAGAGCTGCACACCTGGCACCTGGCACTTTGGGGATACAGCTATATCATTTCACATCAGCTGTGTGTCAGTGTCTAATGTTTCTTTTAATGCTGGACCTTTGATTTCCTCATTTTAGTAGAGGGGAGCCCAAGCACTCAGGTCCCCATTGATGTCCCTAATGTATCTTGTAAGAACATTGCTTTGCCCTATCTTATATTTAAACTTGCTTTTTTCTTTGGAGACCCAAATACCTGAGCCAACTTTGGCCCCTCTCAGACCAGATTCTGTTGTGAAATGACATTACCCTCAAACTGGGCTGCTCCACAGCTATCTCCCATGACTGTTTTAAGTTTTGCCCTCACCCTTTTCCTTTAGCTCTGTCTCACAGGAGGCCTCTGAGAAAATAAAGAATGTACATTCTTCCTTGCTCAACACTTCCATTCTCAGGACTTCTCAGCAACAGACAGAAGAATATGGTCTTTTTCCTGTGTCTTATGTTTCTTTATCCTGGCCAAGGATTTGTTATCCTTCCTGTCTTGAATTATATTTGTAGGCCCTTTGTGGCATAGTAACCTTGTGAACTCTGGAGGATTCTTTATCTCCACCAACTGTTATTTATTGCAGTGAACACCTTCAGGGCTCATGCTCCTTGCCTCTTGCAGAGCTGGGTTAGGTGAGGGTATTGGAGCAGAGCCTATCCTGGAGGTGACTGGAACAGCTGTCTGCACTACACAGACAGGTGCTCCAGGGCTTCTCCTGTGTGCTGCCAGGCTGCAGGGATCAGTTTTATCCTGTCAGTGTGCTGGGCAGACATCCTGCCTGAGACTGCATCAAGAACTCTCTTACTTTTTGCATTTCAAAGTATTTTTCCTTCTCTATAGAAATAAATGCAGTTCCTTTCCAGGGTATTTTTTAGGTCTTTGGAGGAGACTGGGGAGGTCACAGAATGGGAACCCCAACCCTGAGGAGTTGAGAGGCTATTAAAATTAAGAGGTGCAGAGCAGGAGGCAGCATCATTCCATATACCCAGGGACTCATCTGCTTCTTCTTGCTCCTCTGACAGTTCAGGTTGGCTTGGTTCCACCAGGCATTTCCAGGAAGCTGGGATGAAGAGGAAGATACTTTGCTCTGATACTCTGCTGGTGTGAGCAGCAGCAGATTTATTCTGAATGCTCGTGATGCAGCTTAGCCCTGAGCGAGTGTCTGTTACATGCTGAGATGCCTATTTCTGCTCATTCTGGGTTTGCTGGCAGTAAAATCCAGTTAAGGGGACAAATCAACTCCTGACACAGCCTTTCCTTTGGACACAGCCTGTCAGAGGTGCACGGGGGGCTGCTGTGGCAGGGAGGTTCTGTGGCTCCTGGTGGCTGCTGCAGTGTGTGCTCCCTGCTGTGGGGAGAGGGGGCTGTGCCAGGCAGGGGTCCCCGTGGTGGGACCTCTTTAATGCAGATTCTGTTGGCACCACTTCGATTCTGTTTGGCTTCCATAAGTGGGGGCACTGTGCCAAGCTCTGTGCCAAGTTCTCTGTCATGGCTGTGTATTTTAAGTGTCCCAGGCTCAGCTGCAAAAATGGCAGCTGTGAGATACTTCTCCTCCTCTCCCCTCCATGTGTACCCAGGTGCTTGCTTTCAGATCTGTTACTGCATGGGATTGCTTCGTGGTGATTTTCTTGGCCTAGAAGAGATGACCTGAGGCCTTTGTGTGCCTGTTGTTTGATTCCCAGCGTGCCCAGCTCCTTCAGCCATGAGTGCTCCTGCATGGATTTACCCTGCTGTTTCCTCTGTTCATTTTCTGATTGGGTCTCTTTCCAGGTTTTGAAGGCTGTTCCATGGTTCCCACCATTTATCCCCTGGAGACCCTGCACAACTCCCTCTCTTTGCGGCAGGTGAACGAGTTCCTGACGGCCGTGTGCAGGAGCTGCAGCGAATCACATGTCCAGTCCACTGCAGGTACTGCTCAGGTGGGCTTGTCTCTGGCAAGGCAAGCAGCACTCCTGGTCTTTTACATTCTTGGGACAGATGAGGCTGACAGGACTGGAGATAAGTGCCCAGGAATGAGCCATGGGACCCTGCTCAAAGCCATCCTAGTCCACTTACTTGACAAATAATCAGTTAGGTCTGTGGATGATGAGTACGGTGATGAAGATACAAACTTCAGCTTTGTAAATCTTAGATTCCCAGGAGCTGGTGAGCAATCACGGCCCTGCATTGGCACTGATCTTTAGCTCTTCCCGGGACACCTGCTCATGACTGCTGGGCTACGAGGCATTCCTCGATGTCCGCTGGAATATTACTGATCTGTGTATTTTCTCTCTTGAAGCTTTGTTTGATTCAATGATTGGCAGCCAGATACCAGGAGACCCCTTCATGTCCCAGCGAATCCTGTCGTCATCATCCCTGCCATTGCGCCCGCGTTCGGATAAGCCCCCGTGGTGTGAGTGTGCTCCCTTCTCAGTCAGGGCCAAATGGGATGGGGAGGGAGGGAGGGAGGGGGGGAGATTTATGAAGTCAGCAAGGTCAGGAAACCAGTCTGGCTGAAAACAATTGTTTAATTCTCCTCCTTTATTGGATTAGATACAATCTAGGTATTTCTCTGGTTTTGCTTATTGGGCAATAGAAGACAAGAATAAGCATTAGTAGAGAATCAATATTCCTTTCTCTAGTGTTGACTCTCACTCAACACTCGGGGACTCTGTGTGTCAGGAACTGGGAAGAGAAAACGGAAGCTGGGATTGTTCCATAATAATAAGGGAATGAAATAAATTGGTTTTCATTTTGAAGCCAAACATCACACTTCACATTTTGTGCTGTGACAACAGAATCCACTCTTGGCTGTATGCCAGCATAGCACTGGATTACAAGATGGAATTGCACTCTGTGTGCTTGGGTTTTCATCAGCTGAGCTGCCAGAAATGCTCAAGACCAGCTGTGAGCCCCTGGCAGGTCACACAGCAGATAGACAGTCCTCACCTCTTGCTTGTGGAACTGTGGGACTGTGTCAGTTCGGATGGGGAAATACTAGCTGCATGTGTTAAGATTTTTCTTCCTCTTTGCAGACAGCAGTGGCCCCTCCAGTACCGTCTCCAGTGCAGGCCCGTCCTCCCCAACTTCTGTGGACAACTGTTCTCGTTTCAGCTTCACTGAGAAACTTTCCATCAGCCCCCCAAAAAGTGAGGAGCAGCTGACTAGCCAGTCGCCTGAGCAGGAGGAGAGTCAAGCTCCAGGCAGAGGGCTCGATGTGCAGGGGGGTGTGTCTGGGCTGCCAGCAGCAGAGCCAAGTGCCCCAGAGACCCTGGTCTGGAATAAGGGCTCAGAGCCAGGCAGGATCCTGGAGCTGTGCAAGAAGGAGCTGGCAGGGGAGGACACTAACCCAGAAGAGAACAGCATGGGGGAGCTGGATGAAGAAAAACCATCCGGGGAAATGTTAGAGCCAAGTAACATAGGAAACCCAAAGCGTGGGGAAGGGTTTGACCTGAGGCTGGTTGGGGAGACAGCGAAGACAGGTGGGGGGTCTATCAGGGGAATGGCTGGCCTGGATCAGTCGGGGCTGTCCAAGGAGATCCTGGTGCCCTGTGAAGAGGAGCTGCTGGGAGAGGTGTTGGATGCAGAGCATACAGGCAAGGAGCTGCTGGGGGACAGTGCTCTGTCAGACCAACTTCCCTCTGGTCACCTGTGCCAGGTACAACCACTGCCTCCTGAGAAGAATGTGGAGGAACTGCATCTGCTGTGTCAGAAGGATCAGCAGAATTAGTGGCTTACTGGACAGCACACTGCAAGCACTTCTAGCTGAAAGCAGCCCAACTTTGTGCGTGGCACCTCACACAGCTGGCAGTCCACGGCAGAGAGGAAGCCACGTCCCAGGGCCACAGGACTCTGTGGCGTGGAAGAGACTGCTTTGCTCCTCCACAAGTCAGCTCTTTGCCACTCAGCAAGAATGTTTGCCTCGTTAAATGAACATCAATGCAGTCTTGTTACTGGCGTGGCACCTCCATGGAGCAGGGACATGGTGCTGCACTGGTGTCCCAAGGGCTTTGTGCTCACTGGGGCAGCAGCATTACAGGACTGGTACAGCCAAGGCTTTTAGGGTGGTAAGTCCAAAGGGGACAGGTCCTCCCTCGTGACTTTTTGGCCCACAGCCTTCAGAGAAAGGCATTCTGGGCCCAAATTAATCAGATCCATCACAACCACCAACCTCCTCTCTCCTTCCTTCTTCCTCTCTCAATTCCCACTGCTGGCCACCAAAATCAAGTCCAGAGAGTCCATGGCAGGAAAACTCGCAGCAGCAGAAAGCATTCTGAATGAGTGTAAAAAAGAAGGGTAGTGAGGGCATCAGGTTCAACTGCCACTTGCAAGGAAATGTCCCCTCGGCGTGGCCTTGGATGTTTCCCTGCTGGGCTGGGGCAGGCTGGAGCCTGGGGATCCAGCCTGAGAGAGGTGTGCAGGGAGGACGTGCACAGTTCTTTTTTCTTGTCCCCAAGGATCAGGCAGGGTACAGCTCTGAAGTCTTGGTGATGGATTAAAAGAAACTGCTATTTTGACAATTCAGGACTATTAGAAACCAAGAAGGAGAAATCTTTATTATATATAAAATGAAAAGTATTTAATGGATATTTATGTAAATGCCTTGTGAGCACAAGCCTGAGGGCAAGATTGATACGGGTGTCCCTGCCGCCTCCGAGCGCCGGCCAGGGCTGTGCTTCCCACTCCTGTATTTATGGACAAGTCTGCGTGTCCGTCTGTAGCTAGGGTCTGTGTTTCTGTGAAGCTGTGCCCAAAGATCTCTATGCTGTGTTGTGACAATGTGTGTTCACAGTAAATCGATGCTGTGGCTCCGGTGTGTCTGTGTCTCTGATGCTGACTTGGCAGCAGTGTGTATGTGCCAAAGCTTGCCTGGAACAGTGAGCCCTGCTCACACTGTTCAGAACTGCTCATACTGGGGAAGAGCTCCTGGCTCTCAGGTCTCAGGGGATTTGTGGTAGAATGAAGACACTGGGATGGTGTGTTCAGCTCCTTTCACTTGGTCCACACCTTCCTGTCACTTCAAGGACACCAGCCATACCTCCTGCCAGGACCCGTGTGTTTCTGCCAGGGGACAGTGCCTGGGCAGGGTGTCATTGCTGAGAGGGGCATGGGGCAGGGCCCTGTGGGGTGGGGATGTGGCTCTCAGGTGCTGGCCCCTACAGAGCCCTTGCACACCTTTGGAAATGCACTGCAGTCACAGGACCTTGGTTAGCTGCAGTACGGCCAGAGGCAATGGCCGTTTACCTGAAAAGTAGCTGTGTGTGGAAATAGTTCCTGGTTTATGGTAACAGTTCTTGGTTCCTCCCATCAGCACCAGGCTTGGCAGCTGCCCTGAGCTCTCCATCAGGCCCTGCACAAGCTCTGGTGTGCCCTGTGGCAATGGTGGCCTCTCTCCTGAGGACTGTAGCACAGAACCTGCTTTCTTTTCCCCTGGCATCCACCTGTGCCGTTGTTTCCTTCTGAGGACAGGCAGGAAGAGAACTAACTGGGCATCAGCCTGTCCTGACTGTGTTCCAGCACAGGCAGAGCAGCAGCTCTGTCCCAGTTTTCGGATGAGCAGATGAAAGAGCTGAAAGAGAGTGAGTTCCCTTGTTGGAGGTCAGGGGGGAGTTCTGCAGAGGTACAAAAGCCCAACTGCTGCGATGGGGTCAGGTGGCATGGAATCCCTGGCATGCCTGTGCCCAGGGGCCAGAGACCCTTCCAGCTCAGCGAGTGCCATTCCCAACAAGGGCAGGGTGGAATGCACGATTTGGGAACTGTGAGGAGTGATGGTGTTCCGTGGCACACAGGCCGTGCCAGCTCCTCACTGGATTATCAGGAGCTGCTTTTCCCCCTACAGCCCTTAGCCAGCTGTGCAGGGGTCCCAGATGTTCCCCAGCCTGCTGGGGCCCGGGCTGGGGGCTGGCTGTCCCGGCTCCCTGGCCTTATGTGCCGTCCCTTTGCTGGTCACAGGAACGTTTGGCTGCTGGTGAAGGTGGGGTGTTGGTGGAAAAGCTGGGAGGCCCAGGAGGGTGGCACAGCAGCCATGCCTGCGTGCTCCTGCTCGCTGAAAGAACAGTTGGAAACCACTGGAGATGTTCTCGTTCGCAAGTAATGTGGCTTTATTGTTAATGTGTTGGGCTCCTCTCTTGACAGCAGTTAGTTACAGTGTTTCACTTGGAAATGGGCAAAAGGACAGAACTCAAGGAACTAAATTCAAATAGAAATATGATGGTGAAGAAAAGAATCAGGGCTCTCTTCTTAAAACATTTAGCATAGAAGAAGCTAGGAGCACAAGATGCCATTTCAATACAGTTAGGACGTTCACTTTTTTAATTATAGGTTTAAAATAGTATTTTTTACCTATTACATACAGGAAGATTACACGTTGTTGCCCACATGCAGAAACAAGCAAAAGCAGAGTTTAACTGTTTCTCTCTATAGTGTTGTATTACCTCTGGCTCCGGGTGGGTCCTGCTGGCTCCTGTGGCCTGAGCAGGGTCAGACTCTACAAATCAGCATTTTCATAAGTCTTTTTCCCCATAGTTTTTTTTTAAGATGGAAGGGGGTGGAGGGGAGAGGGAGATGTGAGAGAAGCTCAAGGCAGAGCAGACTGCGACATAAACTGAAAAAAAAAGTGGAGCCTTGAGGACAGGGAAGCAAACTGGTGTAGGATAAAGGTAGCCAAGCAGCAGAGCTGCAGAGGGCAGGAGCAGAGCGTGGAGGGCAGTGTTCCTCCTGGAATCTGCCAGTGGCCACACTCCTGCCTGGAGGATGCAGGCACCTCACAAAGCCTCACTATTACTGCTGCTTAGTCAGAATTGCTTCAAGTTTAAAATTGAGAAAACATTCATGTGTGGGTCTATCTAAAATTAGTGCATTAGCTTTTACATCTAGCTACACAGAGGGATCCCAGGAGCCAGTGAGGGCCATGCTTGTGCCTCTGGTGTCTGGCATCCTGCAGCTGCCACCGTGGCAGGTGAGCCAGGGTCTCCCCAGAGCCCTGCAGGCAAAGCCCCCCAGCATTCCAGGGAGGGGCAGGGGCAGGAGTTTTAGTGCCTGCAATTGCCAGAACCAACATTCATGAATGCTGACCCCATTGGGGTACAGAGAATGACATTTATTATGCTGGCAGACACAGTGTGATTCCATGGTTAAAAAATGAACACAGCACAGGGCAGGGGTTTGCTAAAGCCCTGAGTAAGCTCACATGCTTCTAACAAGGGCCATAGCCAAAGAGCTGGCTGTGCCTTGGGGAGGCTGCTGGCCTCAGGCCTTGTCCTACAGCTGCTGGGTTTTACACACAGTCTTGCAGAGACACTTTTGCTGCCCACAAGTCCTCTGTGGTCTTCTCATTTTGTTTAAATTGCAGCATGTTAGCACTTGTACTGAGAAACCTCTGAACTGACACTAAAAGCACATGATATCATGTTAACATGTATAAATTAAAATATTAAATCAACACAAAATGCAGCTTAACATAAAAAAAAATAAATATATAAATTAAGATGCAAAATAGACCATTTCCCTAGAAACTCCATTTTAGTGCTAGGAGCAGGTTTCTAAGCAGCATTTTCTTCATGTCACCTGCCAGAAAACTAGCACTGAGACTGAAGTGTCCCAGGCAAGTGCAACACAGGGTCCAAGGATGCTCATGGTGGAGTCAGCCCTCTGCTCAGGCCCAAGCACAGTGGGTGTCACAGCAGATGGAAATACTTTGTGCTGACTGTCAACAGTTGCAGCACAGCTTTCCATCTCATTCCTTCTTCCCCAGAGCACAGCCTGCTCCCACTCTGTCTTACAGAAAAGCTGTCTCTGTGGTAAGATCCTCTGTCAGTTCTCTTGGACGTGGCAAAGGCTCATGGATGCTGCAGGCTCAGTGCACCTGAGCACCCCACGCCCTGCTGGGAGAACGTGTCTGTGCCAAGGAGGTTCTGGGTGGCTGTTCAGTAGCCACAATGCACCCAGGGCACACTCCTGTGTCTGCCAGGACGTCCAGAGAGCAAGGACCCTCAGTGATGTGTGCCCCAGAACAAACTGCAAGGTGGCACCACATGGATGAGCAGCATCTCAGTGCACTCCACACATCCCTGCCACGCTGTGGAGGAACTCAGAATGACTACACTTTGCTAAACTCCTTTTTCCCGAGTATTTTGGGAAGGGCCTTCTCTTCCCTCACACCACAAGTTCTATTCCCCACGTCCTGACACTTGGGGGACAACAAAAAGCTTGAGCACAGCTATAAGGCTTGGACCCTGGCACACAGGCAGCGAGGAGGTGGCACACTGCAGTGACACTAGCTGGGCACCAGCCTCCCCCAGCATGGCCTGCATGCTCCTCAGCTGCCTCAGTCCTCCCGAGCCTTTGGCTTAGGGACAGGGAGGTTTCTTGTACATCCTGGGCCAAGAGTGGCTAAGGTTTTTTCAGCCCTTCTGCTGTTGAGGGGGCTGTAGTTGTGCGTTTGGAGGCTCTTTTTGTGTAACTGTTTAGGCACAGCCTCTGTGTGCCTCCTCCTGCCACGCAGCTGGTGTGCAGGAGTCAGCTGGCTGCTGTGTGTGCAAAGCTCAAGTTAGCAGGTTAGGAATGTGCTGAACCCTCCCCTCCCACCGCCATGGCCTTCATTCCAGCCCCCTGAGCACAGCAAACAGGTGTTGCAGGATGCCACGGGCAAGCACTTGGGACAGAAATCTGCCAAGCTGGCACGTGGTGGTCGCGCCTAGTTGGAGCACAGGTCCCCTTGCTCAGAACACCTCCTGTATGCTCAGGAGAGGAGATGGAAGAATGACCTTCACTGTCGCGTTACAGACAGAGGGTTTGGTCTTCTCTCATCTCCCTGGTGCAATTTCTTTGCAAGTTAGAGTTTGCCTCTGCCCCCTGCTTCCCATGCACTCTCTACATGCAGCAGCAGCACTTCAGCCCTCAACCGGAAAGGTGAGGTTCATGGTGCTACAGGTTAAATGGCAAGGCAGCCAGGAAGAGAGTAGAACAAGCTCTCACAGCAGCAAGGCAGCCAAGATAGTCTACAGAAACTGTATAGGCAGCAGAATAAAGCAGGGAAGGTAAAAGTGCCCCTGGCCTGCAACTGCTCTTGCACAAACTCTTAGCTCAGTCCAGAAAATTAGAGAGCCCTGCACTTCTTCCTCATGGCATCCAGTGCTGAGCAAGATGGGTACCCGATTGCCTGACAAATGGGAGCCATGTAGAGGACTAAACCAGAGAAGAACTGGACTGTGATTAGATGGTGTCTCTCATGTTGCATCGGTGATTGAAGAGTCAATGGATGAACACAAAATGTGGGAGATTTAGAATTCAATCTTACAGGCTGGAAAAGATTCGTCCTGCATCACAACAGTGCTGCTGCTTGCCAGTACCATGATGTTTAGCTCCTGCTGCTTCTCATGGGTCTGTTGATACCATTCTCGTGTTACCTCAGTATCGTGTGTTGGGATCAATGTCACCTGGGAAAAGAAAGCAGCAGGGATGATTGAGAACAACTGCAGTGACAAACAATGCCCATAGGAGCTGAGGCTAAAATTTCTTGTTAATTTTGGAGCACTGTACCCTTGGTACTGTTTGTTCTATTTAATGTCTTTCAGATGTCGGGTTCTGAGGCAGGGCTTTATTTTATACAGTACCAGCACAATGGGGCTCTGAACTCACTGCAAACTGGCAGCACTGACACCATAATGATGAGAATGACTGCAGTGCAGGGCAGAGCATCGTGCTCTGGAGCTCCAGAAACAGCCTCAGAAAGATCCTTCAGTGTGAAAAGGAACAATGCTGGCAGTGTCACTGTTAATGGACACTATGTGCCCATTGACCCAATGTGCAGC